CTAATCGGAGGGGTAGTAACTCCTCAACCGGATGGGTGATTAAGGACCTCCAACAGTTCATAGCTGGTGCTTGGTTGGCAGAGAATCTTACCTTACGTAAAATTGATGGTATTTTCAACTTATTTACTTATGAGCGGACAGATTTAAACAAGTAAATATGTTCAAATGAGTACGTTGATCTCTCAGCTAGTCAGATAGCGCAGCTGAGCAAGACACATTTCATGCAAAAAAGTAGAATCTAATGATCCAATATCCAATGAATTAGATTCAGAAAGCTGCATCAGATAGTTCCTAGGATTAAGGAACCTAAAACTACATTATATGAGAGTTTTACCGTGAAAACAGGACTTATATGTATCCCAGATAAGATTGTAAACATAACCTCACTTTCGTGACATGCTTTGATGCATCGGAAATAATTAAATCATCTGATGCGATTTGTAAGTTACTAGGGATGTTTTTATCAATTAGAGAGTATAAAGAGTCTATTATCGCAAGAAAATTTGATGAATACGGCCTCCAACAGTCTGATAATTCCTTTTGAAAATTTTCCTCTTGATCCCTTATGGGGAAATCCATGTATTTGTAAAATAAACAAACGTGGGGTATTGGTTGTGACGTCACAAAATGGCTTCACTCTCCCGTCATTTGTAGTTTTAAATTTTCCCGCCAAAATTTTTTGAACTTTTGGGTGCTTTTTTGGGGTGTTTGGGGGGTCCAAAAATTCTGAGAAAAATTCATGAAGCTCAGAATGATGCACTTTATTAGAAAATTAATTAAAAAAAATAGGTGCAACAGATCCATTGTGCTGGTTACACGCTCAAATTCCAATGAATTTCCGATCAACTGGTGACTGGTGCGCACCATCTACCATCAAATTTCTGCGGCCTGCAAAAATTTGATGGCAGATGATGGAACTGTGGGGCTCATCCTTAATCTGATTTCCACACAACCGTGCTCATTTCATGCTTATTTCAATCAACACGCTGTTTTAATTAATTTTACTCATCAATCTAGATAACTCTCGACCGTCATCTTGGTCATCATTTTGATCGGAATTTGACGGAAATTCGAGCGTGTAACCAGGCCAAAAGAGAGGACTTGATACTTTTTTGATGCGCGCAGTGTGATTTTTGGGTGAATTTTCCCTCTACAAATCTCCTCAGTTGCTGTAGCTGTAGCAAGTTGCTGCTGTGTTGCTAGAAGTGTATTTAGCAAATGGGTGGTTTTTCTACGAGGATTAAAAATAAACAAGTGGCACGGAATATAAAAAAAGAAATGAACTATGCAAAACGATAATCCGGGTATCGGAACTTGGCTGATTTGAAAACGCCTTCAAATGCGGCGTGATACCTCAAACATTCCGGAGAGTTCAAATAGTTGTATCATTGCGCCTTAGAAATGCGACGGAAGATTACAATTGAAATAGCCTTCATGCACGCTGGCCTTTTCGATCTCCGTCAAAATTTTTGCAGTCATGAATGCGCTTAAGTGCGCTTCAACTAGAATTTTATTTAGCAAACGGGTGGTTTTTATAGGAGGATTATAATTAAACAAGTGGTTAGAAAAGGAAACAAAATACTATGATCTAAGCAAAACGAATATTCCGATAACGGAACTTGGCTCTTTTAAAAACGCCTTTCAAACGGGCGTGATATACCTCAAGCATTCCGGAGAGTTCAAATGATTGTATCATTGCGCCGTAAGAATGTGACGGCAGATTACAATTGAAATAGCATCTATGCACGCTGGGCTTGTCGATTTCCCCTGAAATTTTTGCAGTGGTGAATGCATAGCTGAAGTGCGCTTCAGCTAGAATTGTATTTAGATAATGGGTGGTTTCTCTACGAGGATTAAAAATAAACAAGTGGCACGGAATATAAAAAAAGAATATGAACTATGCAAAACGATAATCCGGGTATCGGAACTTGGCTGATTTGAAAACGCCTTCAAATGCAGCGTGATACCTCAAACATTCCGGAGAGGTCAAATAGTTGTATCATTGCGCCGTAGAGAGGAGTTGCTACAAATCTCCTCAGTTGCTGTACCTCTCGCGTGCAACAGATCGATTCATTGAAAAAAGTGGCTGCTGTGTCCGCTTGAACCTTCATGATTGAATCATTCCTCTCCTTCTTCTTCTTCAAACAGCGGAATTTTCTCGAGACGCTATGCACACAGAGAGAGAGAGAGAGAATAGGTAACATGTAATAAAAACTATTTTTTATTACATATTACCTATTCTCTCTCTCTCTTCCCCTCTTTTTTTTTGGGGGGGGGGAGGGAAGAGGTGTCCACCCCACAGGAATGGTATCAAAATGAGCTTCCGCTGATACTGTATCTCTTCTGATACCAAATCACATGCGACAAAGTGACAAAACTAATACAAAATAAATAAATAGGGAATTACTTTACTAAACAACCCTCTTGCAAACTCCAAGGAGTCTAGCAGGGTCCTCTGAGGTATACAGTTATGCCGGACTGGTTCTAAATTTAGACTAGCGTCCAATCTCTATGCTGGACACTAAAATCATTCAGTTCGTGAGATTCTTATTCTACCGATGAGGGGCTTGGAGGACAAGGCGGATAAGTGCAGTTTATGCTATTTCGAGACTACAAGTTTAATGTTTCGAAATTACATGGATCCTAATGGCGGAAAGAAAGTGGAAACTGACTTTTTGATCCTTAAAAATTGGAATTTGGGAGCGAATTTATCACAGAAAATGCATTGAGACTAGTTTTACTTGAAATTATTAATATATCAATTTTTTAAAAAATTGCACTTATACGCCTTGCTCTCCAAGCCCCTCGGATGTCATCGTCGCTGTTTCTGAACCTCTGTTAGGGGTTGTGGGTAAGGGGGATCAGAACTTTAAGGATGGAAAAATTCCGATCACCAAAATTCGATTCGGCACGCAACGCGACTGAGCTGCATTAAGGCGCTGGGCAAGAACCCAACGAAAACGCTCATGATATAACTCCAGCAATGCACCCAATGGCTGTCTGAGATAGATCCCCCCCCCCCAAACCACCAGGCTATGCAAAGAAACTCGACAGAGTTCATTTTGTGCCTCTTATTCTAAGTTTTGATATTTCTCATCCCTTTGAATTCCCCTCTGAACAATAAGAGCCTTGCGCTGTACTGCCGCGCTACGCAAAAACGCCCATGAACCTTCGAGCGTTCCTAATTTCCTTAGATAAGTTACGAATTTATTGAGAGACTTACGAATATTTTTATTCCCATTTCTCAGACAACTTTATTCGCAGTATAATCTAGAGCATGATAGAGGGCTGATAAACGTGAGATAAGGATAAAAGACAACAATATTTTCGAGCGTGAAATCGCCACACGCCAGGACGTAGTGGGTTGTATTAGTATAAAAAAACTACAAACATAAACAACGAGAAAAGGATACGAGGCACAAGAGAGAGCCGACCAATCAGGGTGGAGCGGCGTCGGACCACCAACATAACAAATAGAATTACACTACTTCAATAGAGCATCTGATAAATTCAAGGAATAATATGCATGTTTTTCGTCCAAAATAATTTTTATAAAATGGGAAATTTAGCATCGTTCTAATGTTCATACGGCGTTTCTATTGAGCACGAGAGTATACTGTCGTACTAACTGCTTAAGAAAGAACGCCGTATGAACATTCAAGAGTTGTCAAATTTACCTTGATAAAACATGTATTTTTGACAACATTAATACATATTTATCCTTGAAATTTTCAGATATTTTAGATTAAATTGCGTACAAAATTTTCTGAAAATTTTGGAAAATGATATCCACAATTTTCCCAGTAAATGGGCCTGTTGCAAACTTTTGCTAGAGCAAAACTAAGAGTTGTTTCTTATAGATAATGCCTCAAAAATCACGATGAGCGCATCGGCAAACTCTGAAATGCACTCATAACTTCACAAACTGCGTAAGAAATTTGCGGTTTTTTGGGCTTCCCGCTTCAAAAACGATACTACGGCACAGGTGAACATTTTGTAAGAGGAGTCGTTCCATCGTCGGCAATAATCATCATAGCCGACGCCAATCCGCCAAAACACGTTTGATGGGACGAGATAACACCTGAACTGGATTAGACCAGATAACAATCGGTGTGTTAACGTTCATATTTTCCACGCCCGAATTGATTGACCTTGAACTCTCCTTGAATTACGCGCGGAACTGCGTGCAAGCGTCAGCCATGATGAATATCGCCGACGATGGAGCGACTCCTCTAACAAAATGTTCACCTATGCCGTAGTATCGTTTTTGAAGCGGGAAGCTTAAAAAAACGCAAATTTCTTACGCAGATTGTGAAGTTATGAGTGCATTTCAGACTTTGCCGATGCGCTCATCGTGATTTTTGAGGCATTATCTATAAGAAACAACTCTTATTTTTGCTCTAGCAAAAGTTTGCAACAGGCCCATTCTTTTTTTATCGGAGAAGACTTGGCAACGTCTAAGGGCTCATACGTCGTTCTTCCTTAGCACGGCAGTATAGTATCATACCCTCCTGTTACTTGTAGTTTTCGGTAGAGTACCTATATTAAGAGAGTATGGCCACTGGGCCCCATGGAGAGGCTTAGGACCCAAAAATGGCGGTGCTTTGTTTTGGTTTTTGAGGATGGGAGGGAGGTCATTGTCAACTTTTGACGGTTTTCACCAACCGCACTTGCTGCCAACCTTACTACATCTAAGATCATTTTTCTCAAAAATTGCACACGATTAGCCTTAAAAATATGTAAAAAAGTCGCAATAGTGCATTTGGGTAAAGTTCTCGTTACGATAAGCAAAGACAACTACATTTTGAATCATTTTGCATTACATTAACTTTATGGCGTCCGCCATTTTTGGGTCCTAAGGGCTCCATTCAGCCTAAGATGGCTGAGCCAATCAGAGGTGGTAACTCCAGTGGCCATACTCTCTCAATATAGGTACTCTAGTTTTCGGGCCCTATTTTTAGTGTCTTTTTCTCAATCAATGATTGTTGGTCTGTTTTCAGGGCTCTTCCACCGCGGTTTCTCGCAGAGCGGGACTTTCCTGAATCCTTGGGCTTTTTCCGAGAACAACGTCGAGAAATCCCACGGACTTGCCGCCAATTTGGGCTGCCCAACTCACAACTCAGCAGAGTTGGTCGAGTGCCTTCGCAGCCGACCCGCAGAAAGCATAGTCTTGTATTCTCGTCATTTGCAGGTATCTCTTTCCTCCTCCTCTCAAGTAGCGCAGGTGAAATTGGACCGCGTTAAGCAGAAAGGAACCAAGCCATCTGCTATTGCCAAATTTCATTCGGCAGTTTAATGTTTTACAAGAAAACGGTCGTGCGGATTTTGATGCAAACAGTGACCTTTCTGCACAGTACGAAGAAAATTCCTTAAAATTTTCAAAGGAATCCGCACTGACGTTCTCTTGTAAAAAATTGAATTGACCAGTTGAATTTGGCAAAAGCTAATATGGGTTGGTACCTTTCTGCTTAACGTGGTCCATTCAACCTAGTTCCGAAACTACAAGAAAGAAACGCCCGCGCACAGGGTTATAGGACATTTCGTCAACGATTTTTTGTCCGCGCACCTGTTTTTTCCAGTAATTTACGTCCACGCGTTTTTTCGGCACGGGAGTTTTGGCCCACGCGCCAGCTGAGACCCAAAGTTAATTGGTCCACATGTAAATGCAAACGCCAATTTCTCACGACGTTTTTGGATGAAAATATGTAATGTCTTGGAAGAATGAGGGTTTGCTTGTTTTTTTGTTTTGTCTGTTTGGTCCAACGGAGAATAATATTTAGTTGAGAGTTTTGGTAAAAATGGGGGAGCGTCAATTCCGTGAGACAAAATTCACTAAAACTCTCTACCCTCTTTGGTGTAACAGGACTGAATTATCTTTCAAGAAATTCCCACCTTGTTATACCTGAACCGGATAAACCTCTATATTTGCCTCAGCTAAAGGCTCTTGGATTTATCCTGTGTACGATACGTATCTTGATTTATTTTGCGAGGAAAGATCTGTACTTTTAAAGGATGCCTGTCATTCTTAATACGTTCAATTCCGTATAATACTGTGCAACACCTCTGTTGTGAAATAATTGCTTCAGGCGTCGCCGCACGGCGGGCGGGCGGCTAGCGCGATACGCGCATTGGCGCCTACAAACCTAAGTGGATACTTCAAGCATTGTGCAATGCGTAAAGTATCCACTTAGGTTTGTAGACGCCAGTGAGCCTCTCGCGCTGGCAGCACGCCGCTCCGCTCTGTTCGGCTTTAATATTTATACTCGCATATTCAGCGTTTTTTTAACTTATGATTTTGAAATGTTGGCACACTCTGCATTGATTATTCTCATTTAAATTGATGGGGAAAAAATATGTATCAATTTATCAAAGGAGAATAATAATATAATATGTGTTTTTAAATATTGGTGGTTCCGTGTCAAATTTAATGATTTCCAAAGCACTTTAATTTTTTCTTTTACATTTTGTGCTTTCATTGTGCTGCAGCGAGGTGTACGCGCAACGAAACGCTCAGAATTTGACGTATTTGATTCTAACAGATCGATGTACAGATGAGTTAAAATTAAAGATTGCGTGCCTCTTGGTTTTTTCCCCTCTTTTATTCATTTTTGCAGTTTCTGTTGGCGCAACTGCGGCTCATTGAGATTAATGTCGCTTGGAAAAGGTTTTACAAATATTTGTCACGTTTTAAAAATATAAATGTTTTCAAAATGAAGTAATAGTTTCGTAAAGAAAAAATAAAAAAAATAAAAAAAGTACCTATACATATACGAGGGTCACCCAAAAAGTAAGGTTCCCTACCTTGTATCTTCCAAACGAAAAAGGATAAATCAAATCGGTAAAAAGCGAGTATTAGGCATAATTTGAACTTTAAAACAAGCCCAAGTTTTGGAAAATCGGTTGAGAACTTCGCGAGGAAGCAGTTTTTTATTGAGACAACCTCCTGTCGCCGCGTGCCCACCTCCGGGGTCAGGATGCGCGGAGAGTCGATCATTTCAGACTCGGGCATTCGCCTCTAAACATCACATCAAAAAGGAATTTAAAAGTTTTCATTGAGTAGGTCTTCACTTACTTTTTGACGTAGTCTCCACTTGTTTTTTGACATTTCTGGTATCATTACAGCAGCTTCTTGATGCCGTCCGTGTTAAAGTTCTCGCCTTGGCTCCGAAACCAGTCATCGACAGCGATCTGTACTTCCAAATCAGTTGCTTTGCGTCGGAAAATTTTTCCCCAATCCTCCAGACTCTCTTCATTTCTCTTTATGTGACTTTTATCTGTTCCCGAATGGAAAACTTTCACGATTAAAAGCGATTGTCAGTCGATTCAAAGGTACAGATCGCTGCCAATGACTGGTTTCGGAGCCAATGCGAGAGCTTTTACGCTCTGAGCGGACGGCATCAGGAAGATGCTGTAATGATACCAGAAATGTCAAAAAACAAGTGGAGACTACGTCAAAAAGTAAGTGAAGACCTACTCAATGAAAACTTTTAAAGTCCTTGTTGATGTGATGTTTAGAGGCGAATGCCCGAGTCTGAAATAATCGACTCTCCGCGCATCCTGATCCCGGAGGTAAGCACGCGGCGACAGTAGGTTGTCTCAGTAAAATACAGTTCCCTTGCGAAGTTCTCAACCGATTTTCCAAAACTTGGGCTTGTTTTAAAGCTTAAAGTATGCCTAATACTCGCTTTTTCACAGATTTGATTTATCTCTTTTCGTTTGGAAGATACAAGGTAGGGAACTTTACTTTTTGGATGACCCTCGTATAAGGTATATTGTACATTCAATATTTTAAGGATGGAAATAAAAACAAACATTCACCAATGACAATTTAAAAATATGATTCAAAAGGAGAAAGTAATAACATTTCATTTAGAAAATGAGCAACCATAACAACACCTCCTTCTCTCTCAATTCCTCATTTCCATATTGTCAATATAATTTTACATACCGACTAAAATAAAACGCTTGGACCAAGTCACTGTTGCTTATTTTACGTGTGGGCGTAAACTACTGGACAAAAAGGTGCGCGGACCAAAAATCGTTGACAAAATGTCCTGAAATCGCGCACAGTCAAGCCGGTAGGTGTATAACAAACACAAGCGCCTTCAACTACAAATGCATACAGCTATTCATACTCCGAATAAAACTATTCGTACTCGATGGACATCCGTGTTGCGTACGCATAAATTGAAGGGGCTTGAATTTTCCTGGTTGTCGCGGTAGTCTTAGAGGTACGCACGGTGCAGCTGTTATGTCTCACCAGTAAGAAATTACTCTAGAGTACCTTTATAGACAGAGTATGGCCATTTCTGTTCCGGTTTTTCATTGGTCGCGAGCGAATAGGCTGACACGATGCTCTTAGGGCCGTAAATAAACAAACAAGGTGGCTGTTATCAGCAAGCAAGATTGAGGTTATGCACATCTTACATCCTCCAGTGATAAAGGTGAAAGGCGATTTCACAATGTTTTCGTATTTGCGAGTGTGTGTGTGTCCCTTTGACGAGCCGCGGGTTGCCGCATCTGATCAATGAGTGGGAGAGAGAAAGACGATAAAACGGCGGCTTGTCAAAGCCGAGTGCGCTCCTTTGACGTGCTGCCTCTGAGCAATGAGTGCGAGAGAGAGAAAGGACAATACAGCGTATGGACCAATCCAAGTTGAGCCTTAGTCCCCGTTTACGGCAGTGCTTTCCAGGGCTCATGGCCGGAAAGCACTCCGGAGTTTTTTTGGGGCACCCGGATTCGGGCTCGCCACTACCACCGCGGACCAAATTACGAGGCCCAGCCTGTATTTTTGCGAGTGTGTGTGTCCCTTTGTCGAGCCGCGGGTTGCCGCATCTGATCAATGAGTGGGAGAGAGATAGACGATAAAACGGCGGCTTGTCAAAGCCGAGTGTGCTCCTTTGACGTGCCGCATCTGAGCAATGAGTGCGAGAGAGAGAAAGGACAAAACAGCGTATGGACCAATCCAAGTTGAGCCTTAGTCCCCGTTTACGGCAGTGCTTTCCAGGGCTCATGGCCGGAAAGCACTCCGGTGTTTTTTCGGGGCACCCGGATTCGGGCTCGCCACTACCACCGCGGACCAAATTACGAGACCCAGCCTATATTTTTGCGAGTGTGTGTGTGTCCCTTTGTCGAGCCGCGGGTTGCCACATCTGATCAATGAGTGGGAGAGAGAAAGACGATGAAACGGCGGCTTGTCAAAGCCGAGTGTGCTCCTTTGACGTGCCGCATCTGAGCAATGAGTGCGAGAGAGAAAAAGGACAAAACAACGTATGGACCAATCCAAGTTGAGCCTTAGTCCTTGTTTACGGCAGTGCTTTCCTGGGCTCATGGCCGGAAAGCACTCCGGTGTTTTTTCGGGGCACCCGGATTCGGGCTCGCCACTACCACCGCGGACCAAATTACGAGGCCCAGCCTGTATTTTTGCGAGTGTGTGTGTGTCCCTTTGTCGAGCCGCGGGTTGCCGCATCTGATCAATGAGTGGGAGAAGGAAAGACGATAAAACGGGGGCTTGTCAAAGCCGAGTGTGCTCCTTTGACGTGCCGCATCTGAGCAATGAGTGCGAGAGAGAGATAGGACAAAACAGCGTATGGACCAATCCAAGTTGAGCCTTAGTCCCCGTTTACGGCAGTGCTTTCCAGGTCTCATGGCCGGAAAGCACTCCGGTGTTTTTTCGGGGCACCCGGATTCGGGCTCGCCACTACCACCGCGGACCAAATTACGAGGCCCAGCCTGTATTTTTGCGAGTGTGTGTGTGTCCCTTTGTCGAGCCGCGGGATGCCGCATCTGATCAATGAGTGGGAGAGAGATAGACGATAAAACGGCGGCTTGTCAAAGCCGAGAATGCTCCTTTGACGTGCCGCATCTGAGCAATGAGTGCGAGAGAGAGAAAGGACAAAACAGCGTATGGACCAATCCAAGTTGAGCCTTAGTCCCCGTTTACGGCAGTGCTTTCCAGGGCGCATGGCCGGAAATTACTTCGGTGTTTTTTCGGGGCACCCGGATTCGGGCTCGCCACTACCACCGCGGACCAAATTACGAGGCCCAGGCTGTAGTTTTGTTTTTTTCGTGTGTTATTCGTAGATATGCTAGTTTAAATTGTTGCTGCCGTAAAATTGAAATTTTTGTCAAATTTAGCTTCTTATCGATGTTACGGTGAGTCTCCATCTTGTTTGTTTATATACGGCCCTAAGAGCATCATGAAGCCTAAAAACTCGTTGACCAATCAAAAAGCGGAACAGTTTTCCTGTAGTAAAAAGATACGAATGGCCATACTCTGTCTATAAAGGTACTGTAAATTACTCCAGAGAGGATGCGCGCCTATAAAGGCGGCCCATTTAAATTTGGCAATAGCTGATGTGGCTTGGTTCGTTTCTGCCAAACGCGGTCCAATTATCGTTATTGTATCGGAGTGTTGTGCATATTGTCTATTCGCTGATTGAATTACCTCCTTTCATTGAAATTGATTGCGATACTAATGAACTAAGTTGCAATTTTTTTTTCTATCGTAAAATTGCCTACCATTCTCACTCATGGAACATACTTTATTGATCGCTTAAAATTGATATTCATCGACCTTTGATATAAAAGTATTGTAATTTCATGGTAAAAAAATAATTGCAATTGCATTAAATAAATTATTCATCGACCTTTGTTATAAAAATATTGTAGGTAATTTCGTTGTAGGAAATTAATCGCAATTGCATTAAATTACATATTCCAATATTTTCATAGCAACTGTGCCTTTTGGGCTGTAATTAGCCATGGAAAAAGGGCCTTGATCGGCTGCAGGAAAATTTTCAGCGGAGTGGTTTTAGTCGAGTTTGATCGAAAAATGGAATTTTCCTCTTGCGGCGGTATATACTCCATCGATATTCCACCAAAGAGGAATGCCAGTTTTGAGCCTGTAGCGAGCTTCAACGAGTTACGTTGTGACCCGCGGATTGCCTGCTCCAAACACGACAGATTGCCGAATTGAAAAACGATTTTTCTCCATACTGCGTTTTTTTTCACAGCGCATTTCAAACGGCCATGATTAGGATTCGATTGACATTTTTTGTACCGAAACGTGCACACTACATTTTCAAATGTACCTACCTTATCTCATATAGATGACGTAATTTTGATTTTTCATGCGCTAGATTATTTTTCCCCGTTGACGGTCACGCACCTCATTTCGTAGCCTTTCTGGCGTTCGGGCGTATCTCTATTCCCAAATGATCCCGGGAAAGTATGGAAAAATACGGCGAACAAGGCTCACGTGGTAATCGGGATACGCCCTCTAGTCAGAAGAGCGTGGATAGTCCAGGCGCCTGGTAGCTAAAAATGAGGCTACCTGGAATTTTGGGTACACAGCGATTTTTTTGGCTTACTTTATGTTTTTTGGATCGCTGAACCCAAATCTGAAGTTTCCTACCGCGTATCTGGTGAGCATTTTCCGCCATTTTGAAAAAATGGCCTAAAAAGGCCTTTCTTAGAGGTTTTTTTAATGTAGCGGCTACGCATGAGAAAAAATCCCGGATTTAGCTAATATTTTGAATAGCTGACAAAATTTGAAAGAAAATGGTGTGTACATATGCTAGGTTTGCTGAAAAATTGAGGAAGATACAGCATCGTGAACATCGCGCCCATTCACGTTTTCGCGGCGCACCCGTTAACGCGTGATCCGGCTCGCCGCGGTCAGCCAAGTTTCGAAGCGTTCCAAAGTTCCGAGATCCGAGGTTCCTCAATTTTTGAGCAAACCTAGCATATTCATATACCAGTTTCCTCCAAATTTCGTCAGCTATTCAAAACATTAGCTAAATCCGGGATTTTTTCTCATGCGTAGCCACTATATAAAAAAACCGCAAAAAAAGGCCTTTTTAGGCCATTTTTTCAAAATGGCGTAAAATGCTCACCAGATACGCGGCAGGAAACTTCAGATTCGGATTCAGCGACCCAAAAAACATAAAGTAAGCCAAAAAAATCGCTGTGTACCCAAAATTCCAGGTAGACTTACCAGGCGCCTGGACTAGGATTTGTGGGACGCAGACGGGTGATGGCTCAGCCAGAACCTCTACGCACAGGAAATTCTGAGCGGGACGAGGCAAAAATTCAAGATAATATTTGGATTGCAATTTGCAAAAAGGAATAAAGGGCATTCCAACGTTGCCAATATTGTGCAATTGACATCCTTTGCGACACAATTACTGAAATCCCGGAAAAAATTGAATTTACAAAGGTAATTTTCGTCATGAAGTTATAGTTTATTGAGAGTAAAGATGAATATTGTTTAGATGGTCAGTTTTTATTTGCAAGGTAAACCAAGTTGCACAATCTTAGCGCCATTGGAATGCTCTTGGTTCCTTTCTGCTGCAAAATGCAATTCATTTATCCTTTCCCCTGAGGATGAGATACTATTCAACATCATATCCACCCATGTGACAATGTACTTGCGCATTTTTGAACTTTCCTTTCAAACTTGCTACGTATTTAACACACACTGACGAAAGGATCCAGTGCTTTTTGACGATGCGAACCCAAAAGCACGGCCGTAAACGGGGGTGTGAGGCTCAACTTACCAGAGGCGGATCCAACAATTTGGCAACACCGGATTTCCTCCATTACAACCTATGCTAAATAATCGATTTTTGTCGGAGCACCTAACCCCTCCGAGAATCGATACATTTCCATAGGTGTAAATGGAGAGGAGACGATGTTGCCAAGTTGCTGGATCCGCCAATGCAACTTACATCGATGCATACGCTGTTTTGTCGTCTATCTCTCTTACGCCCGTTCATCAGATGCGGTATGCTTCGGCTCGTCAAAGGGACACCTGCGGCGCACACTGACACGTACTCGCAAAAATACAGGCCGCGGGGGTAGTGCGAATTCCTTCACCGCAAAACCACTCAAGTGATTTCCGACCTTGATCACCCGAAAGTACGACCGTAAACGGAGAGTGAGGCTCAAGTTAGATGGGTCCATACGCTGTTTTGTCGCGCATCTCTCTCGCACTCATTGATGAGATAAGGCATTCTTCGGCTCGTCAAGGGGACACTTGGCGCGCGCACACACAATTGTAAAAATACAGGCTCCGCCTTGCATTTCAGCCGCGGTGGCAATGCGAAATAGTGATGGCAACACCAGTCAAAAGCTTGTTAAAGAGAATACAAGAAAGCGCGGCGGTTAACAAGCAGAGGCGGATCCAGCAATTTGGCAACACCGGATTACCTCCATTTAAACCTATGCTAAATAATCGATTCTTGTCAAAGCGCACCTAGCTCCTCCAAGAATCGATACATTTTAATAGGTTTAAATGGAAGAGATCTGGTGTTGTCAAATTACTGAATCCACCAATGTTAACAAGAAGCATCACAAGTATCTCTCTACGACTTTACAGATACTTCAAACCGTGCAGAAGGAAAACAAAAAATCCCGAACGACCCTTGCTGTCTTAGCGCTCTAGGTCAGTTTACATGATCACATTAAGTGCGGCTCGTTCAGATGCTTTCACTGGGTGCAGATTTAGAAACGCGATCACTAGGAAAGGAAATAAATTTTATTGGGTCATTATTAATGCAGGTCATGATCAACGAACCTTGGGAATCGAGCAACATACTCGAATATATCTATGATTTCTTACATCACAGCCCAGCGATTTGCTCTTTGACTCTTGAGCAGCACTGAGGTTGTCTACGGTTTATGTAATGATTTACCTCATATTCCTACTCCCCTCGAAATATTTCCGACATTTTTATCGTATTAAAGCGACTTAATTCAGACCCAGGGGTGTAGAAGAGGTCAAACTTCAAGATTTGCAACATTCCGACGGTGAATGCCGAAAAACATGTTCTTCGATTGGAGATATTATTGATTTTTTGACACACTTAATTATTCAAAAGAAAATCAAAGAGCGCATTAATCGTACTGATTTTTTCTGCATACAGAAGATTAAGTAAAAATTAAAACAATGGGTTACGTTTATTTCTTTTAAAAGAGCATAAAATAACAGGTAAGACTTTTTAATGATGTAATCAAGATATAATAATTGTCAAATTTCTCCATCGTAAATTACATTCCCAAGTTGCACCGACTGCAACAAATTGCAGTTATACATATTAGGTACAAGGTGGAGAAATGGTGCTGGGTCCACACCATTTCGCGGGGAAACAAAGCCCAGAAATTCCAAAAATTTAAATTAGAGTCAAAATTAAATTTTTTGAACTCAAATGCACACCAGTACGAAACTTTTTTCTTTTTTTTCATATTAGGTACAATTATTGCTACTGCATTAAAGTGGCGTTTGCGTTGTCTGTCCGCTGATTGAAAGAACACTTTTTATCAAAAGCTATTGCAATACAATTGAAATAGGTTTTGTTTATCGTGACAAAAGCATCAAGGAATTGCACATTGCCTATATTTTCGAAAGATGGAACTCACTTTGTTGGTTGTTCAAAATCGGCGTTTGTGGACCAAATAATGTAAAATTATGGCAATTTCGTGGTAAAAAGAATTCAATTGCATTGCGATAAATTGCAATTTCATTTCAATAATATCATTGCACTATGCTGCTTGGGTCATTGAATATCGTAATCGTATCGAATATTGTCACTGGTTATCGTAAAGAAGGCCTCTGTGCTGTTAGAGGGAAACACTGAAAAGATGTTCATATTTAATTTTTCTAGAGCTGGAGGTACAATCCCTTTTCCCCTTGGGCGCCTTCAGTGGAAGCAAATTCTTCGAAAGCCTTCTTAAGCGAGGATCCTTACAAGTTACTGGAACGGGGGAAAATCAAAGACCTACCGTGGTTAATCAGTTTTACATCAGGAGAGGGACTCTACCCAGTTGGAGGTACGTTAAATTTAAATACCAATCAATTTTTAACCCTTTATGCCATGAATTCATTTTTGATCTCAGATTATAGAGAACACTAATCTATTTTTCAGCTCGCTTAAAGAACATGAGTACCAAATTGTCTCAAAAGTTTAATTTTTTGGGAATCAGTTATCCGGAACAAGAAAAAACTAATGCTAATTTGCAAAGTCGTGCGACTGAGGAAATATTCAATTTTTAAAAAATCAAATAATAAGTCGAGACGAATTCGTAACGCTTCAATATTAAATCGACGAAGAAATGATTGCAGAAATCGCTGTTCCTCTATTTCCCAATACTTAGGAATAAGTCGATTTATGTTTTTGCGTAGAAATATTGAAGTTGAGAGCGTCACTTGGTAGCGATATTTTTCAGTTTCGCCATCAAAATATCCTGAAAATGAGACATGAGACAGATAGTTGCTCGCCATTCAAAAGCAGGACGAACGGAACGCAGTGGTAACGTCTGAATGAAAGTGGTGATGCAACTATTCCTACTCAACGCTTGACTGTGTTGCATAAAGAAAAATTGAAGGCGCTTCCAGATTTCTCGCGCTCAGAGGAGCGCGGCACACTGTCCAGTTCGTCGCAACAACGCTCGGCAGTTGGAGACTATGCGAGGAATTGATAAAAAAAAAAGCGAGGAAGAGTGATAAGAGGGTGAATTCAGAGGCTCTTTTACAATTCGCATAGTTTTTAATGATCAGGTTTTCGAGAAAAACTGAAATGAAAGGGGTACCAGTGGCAGTCAGCATTGCAACAGTAGATGTTGACTAAGGTTATAGGACATTTCGTCAACGATTTTTTGTCCGCGCACCTGTTTTTTCCAGTAGTTTACGTCCACGCGTGTCTTCGGAAGGGAAGTTTTGGTCCACTTACCACTTGAGACCCAAAGTTAATTGGTCCACATGTAAATACAAACGACAATTGCTTACGACGGTTTTGGATGAAAATTTTTAATGTCTTGGAAGAATGAGGGTTTGCTTGGTTTTTTTTTTTTTTTTTTTTTTTTTTGTTTGTTTGCTCCAACGGAGAAAAATATGTAATTGAGATTTTTGGTAAAAATGAGGGAGCGTCATTTCCATGAGAGAAAATTCACTAAAACTCTCTACACCTCTTCGGTGCGACAGGACTTAATTATCTTTCGAGAAAATCCCATATTTTTATACCTGAACTGGAAAACCTTTTGATTTGCCTCAGCTAAAGGATCTCATATTTTTCCTGTGCATGATAACTTCGTTTCGGCACTGGTTTGCCGCAGCGCTTCGAGCTACTATTTCGCCACGGAGGTGTTGCACAGTATCATATGAGATCGGAGGCACCCCAACGTATCATGATTGGTGGCATCTTTCAAAAGCACGAAGTTCCCTCGCGAATTAAATCGAGGGACGACAACAAAAAGAGAGTGGTAGTCGAAAAACTTACTGTCCTAGTATCTGTATTTAATGACGTATAGTATGATTTTTAACTTCATTAGAGGAACAAGTTGTGACCTAATTTAAGGAGAAATATCCTTAAATTTACAGCCGAGAAGATTTCCTTATGAGTTAAATAAAGAGATTAATGTTTTCTTAAAGAAGAAAAGATGCTTTTATATGAGGGAAAGTCACTTACGTCAGCAGAAACCCGCTTTTGTTCACCTATTTTATTCTTAATTCAAAATAAAATCTTCTTGACGGCATATTCCAGAATGTTCCTTTATCTCTCTTATCTCGACTTATTTTGCAAGGAAAGTTCCGTACTCTTAAAGGATGTCTGTCATTCTTATTGTTGGTATGTTAGAGTGCCTTCAATTTCGTATAATACTGTACAACACCTCTATTGTGAAATAGTGAAGCGCCGTGGCACGTGGCACGCTGCGGCGCGGCCAGCCAGCCAGCACGGAACGCGCATTGGCGCCTACAAACCTAAGGGATACCTTAAGCATTGCGCAATGCGTGAAGTATCTGCTTAGGTTTGTAGGCGCCAGTGCGCGTTTCGTGCTGGCAGCACGTCGCATCACCCCGCTCTATGCGAGGGCCTATTATTTAAACTGGCGGAGTCAGCGTTTTTCAACTCATGGTTTTTATATGTTTGCACAATTTGCATGGATTACTTTAATTTAAATGGATAATTGAAATTTTAATGTGTGTTTTGTAAATATTAAGGTGTTTCCTTGTCGTATTTGATGATTTTCAAAGCACATTAATTTTTTCTTTTATATTTTGTGCTGTTACTGTGCTGTAGCGTGGTGTGAGCGCAACCAAACGCTCAAAATAGGACGAATTTGACTCTGAAAGATCGATGTACGAATGGGCTAAAACCGAAGATCGCGTGCTTCTCGGTTTTTCCCTCTTTTATTCATGTGTGCATAGTTTCTTTCGACACAACTACTGCTCATTGACTTTAATATTCATGCCATCGCTTGGAACAGGTTTTACAAATATTTGCCACGTTTTAAAAATGTAAATGTTTTTAAAATAAAGTAATATTTTCATTAAAAAAAAGTATTTATAAGGTTTACTGGTCATCGAAAATTTTAAGGATGGAAATAAAACCAAATATTCACCCATGACAATTTAAAAAGATTGATCAAAAGAAGGAAATAACATTTCATTTAAAAATTGAGTTACAACAACAACTCTTCCGCCTCTCTCAATTTTCTCATTTCATTATTGTCAATATAATTTTACATGCGGGCTAAAATATGACACTTGGACCAAGCCACTGTAGCACACGTGGACGTAAACTACTGGACAAAACAGGTGTGCGGACAAAAAATCGTTGACGGAATGCTCTGAAACCTTGACTAATGTACAGCACTATTTTAATCACTAACTTAGGATAATTACTTATTTCCACGTACTTATTTCCACGTTATTTTTTTGTCCTCTTTTTACTTATTTTCCACGTTTTACCTGTTTTACCTGAAAATGTTCTACGCACGCACACAAATAAAAAAAGACGAAATCTGGCATTAAAATTCTGTAGGCAGTCCATAGTCTTTAAATTTTTGCCTTTCATTAATATAAAAATCCCATATTATTGCTAGAGGAATTCTACCCAGTTGGAGGTGCGTTATCATTAAAACAATCAATTATTGTTAAAATAATATTATTAATCCGTGAGGAAATTTTAAAACAAATATGTTCCTGGTCCATGATATCAAACGTGGTTCTCCATTATAATCTCCTAAGTGACGAGTATTTCAGTTTATGCTTTGGCATTAAAAACTTTAAGTTCGGAACCTCACCAAAAAAGGTGCGATGCACTATCACCATCAGAATACGTTAGTAAACGAGATAAGGGGAAACAAAGTTGCTTATCATCTCGGAAGAACGTAAAAAGGAGGCGCGAGGCGCCTCAGTCGATTACAGTACCAATGCAGTGTTACATTGGCGGCTCCAGCAATTTGGCAACGCCGGATTTCCTCCATTTAAACCTATGGAAATGTATCGATTCTTGGAGGGGCTAGGTGCTCCGACACGAATCGATTATTTAGCATAGGTTTAAATGGAGGAATCCGGTGTTGCCAAATTGCTGGATCCGCCTCTGCAGTGGTGACGCCTGAAAGTAATAGGTGGTACAACTATTCCTGCTCAAGGACTATTTGTGTTGCTTACGGGAAAATTGAAGGCGCTTTAAAATTTCTCCCGCTCAGAAGACGCTCTGCGGTGCAAATACGTTAGAGGTAACTCAATAATGAGCGAGGAACTGATCGATAAAAAAGCGTGAGAGGTTGATATGAGGCCAAATTAAAAGTCTCGTTCACAATTTGCAAAGTTTTTAATCGTCGGGCCTCGAAGAATTAAAAAACTGAAGGGAGAAAAGTACCGATGACAGCTAGCACTACAAGTGTAGATCTGGACTAACACCGCACAATTTCAAGCATCGCAGCTTAAGGTCAGTAGAGCGTTTTCCGCGATTCCGATGTTCTACTTGAAAATTATATACCTACACCTACAGTTTACATGAGGAATAAAATCTCGTAGTTCGTTGTGAAAGTACATTTTGACATTTTTTCCGAGGTTTTTCATCAGGCGTCCGTAGAATCAAAAGAGTACAAAATCACTTTGTCTAACCTTCAGAGTACGAAAAGAAAACCTGCAACTTATTTTAGAGAAATGGAATTTTTGGAGTGAAGCTTTAGTTACAGCTTTGGACGAGTGTTCGGAAAAGGGGGCCCCTCAGGCCTCAAGAAATCGAAACAATAACGTACCCTGGTAGCAGTGACTGTTGAGAAAAGTTGTAAAAAAACTCGTCAATTTTAAGAGAACTTAAAATATACTTCAAAACCACTTGAAAATTACGTAAAAAAACTCTTGAATTATTCGTATCAGGAAACCGTTTTGGGTTTTTTTTTTTACATAAAGTTGAAAACAAATGTAAAGTAATATTTACGTATTTTTTTACGTTCTTTTAAAATCACACTATTTTTTTATTTTAAAGAATTCCTCAAAGGGGTTTCCTACAACGAGTATTTTAAGAGTTTTTTTACATTAAATTTACGAACTCTTAAAATTTACAACTCTTTTACATTTTTGCTGACAACTTTTCGTAGAACTATTTTTTAGAGTCATCGCTAGTAGGGTAGTGGTAACGCCTGAATGCAAGTGGTGATACATCTATTCCTGCTCAACGACTGCCCGTGTTGCATACAGAAAAAATTGAAGGCACCTAGGAATTTGCGAAGTCAAGGTGCACATTAATCTGTGGATTGTTTAGACGGAAAAATGAAATTGATTTGTGCCTTTCCTGTTTTGACCCCAACGTGCTTTTATGATGAGGCTTGGGATTCGGCAATTTTTTTGAAGGATACGGTTACTGTGAAACGAGGCAAATGGGCCTGTTGCATGCAAGAGATACAGCCGTACGAATAGACTTTTTAGAGGTAAAATGACACGAAAATTACGATGGTAATATTAAAAAAGTCTGAAATACACTCCTTACTGCGCAATTTGTGTTGTTAGGAACGCGCTTTTTCAAATTTCCCGCGTCTGGGGGCAGTTTTCTAACGGAAACAAGTAACGGCAACTCGCGGCTATTTCCGGTCAACTAAAACTGAAAACATAACCTGAAAATCGGAGATCGTGATATCGTGATACCGTGAAATAAAATGTAGAAGGATTGCGTTCAATATTTAAAAGTTGATTAATTCAGTTACTGCGTAAAGCGCATATGGACCACTATAAGAGATCACGTTGGGTTTGTAAACAAACTAAAGGAAAAAAGAACAACAACAACAACAACGACTTGGCATCTTCCGGAAATCACCGAGCCCGCCGTTTGCTCGTTTCCGGTGATTAGAAAACTGCCCCCAGACGCGGGAAATTTGAAAAAGCGCGTTCTTAACAACGCAAATTGCGCAGTAAGGAGTGTATTTCAGACTTTTTTAATGTGACCATTGTAATTTTCGTGCCATTTAACCTCTGAAAAGTCTATTCTCACGGCTGTATCTCTTGCATGCAACAGGCCCATTATGCATGATTCGACGGTGGAACTCATAGACCACGAATGTCGTCTGCGGTGTTTTAAAATCTCCACTCCCATTTGATTTCATCGAAGGCGTACAAACCAATATAATTCGTCGAAGTTTTCGCAGAATTTTCTCAGCGCAGGGAAAAAAATCATGGTGGTTTTGACGATTGACGGTGAGTATAGTGTTTTCCTTTTAAAAAATGAAGTATAACAGGAGGTCTGCAACGTCGCAAACCGGGATACGTGGTTCGGGAGTTCCACCGTCTTAACGTCTCGAGTAAGACCTTTCAGCGAGTTCATTTTTCTGAGTTTTACCATATTATTATATTTTCAAAATATGGGGGATGAATCATCCCTCCCCCGGAAAAAAACCGAAGTCTAATATTGCCAATTTCTTTTCATTTGTATGGAAGCGGCCATTTACATCAATGCCGCTATCTTATTTTCCGTCTGAAATTAGACTTGTGCCGCCTTTCATCCTACATGCTTCAGGTTTTCGAAATTCTGCCAAGCTAAGGAAAAACGCCGTGTGAACATTCCAGAGTTGCCAAATTTCGTTCGATAAAATGTTCATTTTGAAAGGAGGTTATGCACCCATTTCCTTCAGATTTTCAGATGTTTTAGATTTAACTGCGAACAATTTTTTTTTTTTTTTTGGTCTGAAAAATTGGAAGAAAAATATTCATAACCTTGCAAATGATTCGCATTTTATCAAAGAAAACTTGGCAACGCCTGAAGGCTCATACGGTGTTCTTCCTTAGCAAGGCAGTTGGCTCGTACGTAAGCGCCAAAGCAGTCAATATTTCGTCACCTTCCAGGCAAAGTATCACAAGCGCCATGCGACGTTTAAAAATTTCCGCCGCCATTTTATTTCTTTACTGAGAAATTGTTGGTTGAATCTGTCTGGAAATTTCACTAAATTTTATCGGCAGCACAAAGAAAATTCAGTGAAATTTTCGGACAGCTTCGTTGAACAATTTCTCTGTAAAAAAATAAAATGGCGGCGGAAATTTTTAAACGTCGCATGGCGCTTGTGATACTTTGCCTGGAAGGTGACGATTTCTCGGGTTGTTTTGCGGAAATCGCCCGCCAGGTTGAAACTAGATGACCTTTTATTATGAAATGGCTATTTAGATTTAAAATGGATATCAGCGGCGAGACGTGAAAGATCGATTATCGATATTTCCACATTTAAAGCCACGGTAAAGAATCGATTAATAAGGCGGCGAGACGTGAAAGATCGATTATCGATATTTCCACATTTAAAGCCACGGTAAAGAATCGATTAATAAGGTGTCTGTTGCGGCCCTGTTCATCGATCCTTTACCACAGGTTTCAATGGTAGATCAATCGATATATCGCAAAGCCGCTGATGGATATTCCTTCCCCAGAGTATGCAGAGAATGAGCGAAACGCCCTGACGGAGCTCGACGAGAACTGGCTGGAAATAGCTCCGCATTTGTTGGACTTCGCTCACACAGTTCCACAAGACGACCATAAGGAATATAGTGCTGAAATAAGGCTCCAGTACTTTGGTAACAGATCAGTATCCCCAGAGACCTTCGAGAATCTCATCCAGGTCAGTGAAATATGGTGTGCTCGGATCAATAGGTCGGTTGCGCTCGTCACTGAATCGTATTTTGATGCTTGCTTCTTGCAGATTAGCGAAAAATAAGATCTGTCCAAACAGCAACTATTTACTTTCAATATTAGCCGAAATATTGCCTTTTGTAAAGTCGGGGTTTTGACGTCATCCACCGCGGTAATGACACCCTTGATTTCTGCCACCTTGCTTTAATCAGTCAGTGATGCACTGGTTATACTCAGCGTGAAACTTGGATGAAAGCAAGGTGGAAGAATAAACGCAGGAAGTCACTACCGCGGTGGATGACGTCAAAAACTTGACTTTTCAAGGGGCGGTATCCCACTATTAAAAAAATCAAGAAAACGCTGAAAAGACAGCTGACAGAAAAATTCGGGCGAAGAATTCCNGGGGGGGGGGGGGGGGTAGTTAGTTGTAGCGCACGTTCATTGCGTCATTTGGAATTTCCCGCGCTTCTGATGGCGGGACTTCCCTCTCGCTGCGCGCTGAATAAGCGCCATATAATTGGACTACATTTTGCAATTGAGGACCACAATTTCTGGCTCATCCGTAAAAGCACTTATCTGCATAGGAAAATTACTGATACATACATTGTTTCAAACCTGATCGTGAGTCAGAAATTGTAGTTCCTAATCACAAAATGAAGTCCAAATAACGCGAAAATAGCTGTGCATTCCATGCAAAGGTGGACGAAATTCCTAATTTATTGTAAGTTGATGTGAATACCTACTCATTGGAAAATTCAGAAGTCAACTTTAAGGAGCCTTTTCCTTTTTGTCCATTGCATTTGGAGAAAAGGTTATCTTATCCTCCTTTTCTTCGGCAAGACCTTTCAAGGCAATATTAGAACCTTTTTCATTGTTTCACGTTTATACTCTCACCCTCAGAATTGAAAGAATGTTTCTTCCTCCGATCAACTTTACCCTAGTAGCAATGACCTTACAAAACATTTTTCAAGAACTCTTAAAAAGCCGTTAGAATTTTAGCATTAGAAAATTCTTCTTGGCTATTTCTTTTTAGTAAAATTTACAAGAAGCGACGTTTCAATCATAGTTAGGAGAAAATGTGTTGAAAAACTCTTAAAACATCACTGTAGTTTTATACCTTTTTTCAAACATTTTTATTGTTGAAAAACTACAGGTGTTACATTAAGAGTTTTTTTAACACTTATTACTTAAATTTTACTTAGAAAAATACCCAAGAAGGGTTCCTCATACGAACATTTTCCCTTTTTTTTTGAGTTGTCTTTATTTAAGAGTTTTAATAGTTTCTCTTACGTTTTTTTTTTATCATTCGTTGCTACCAGGATACCACAACCCCCCTCCCCCCGTACTTGGTATGATTTTAAATTCTAGTATCTCATTTTTAACAGGTTGTGGGAGATAGACTGTATATGGTGGGGATTCAGCAGGCTGTCCGATTCCAAGCGGCAGCGAACAAATCTCCTGTCTACTTGCTTCACTTTGCATCTCCAATTGAGAAGAGCTTGTCTACCAAGTTCTGCAGCTCAACCAAAAACTATGGTTCGTGCCAATTTTTTCTTTTTCTTTTAAAAATGTTTATTTACAGAATCGATGATGTAGATAGAAATTTTACGAAGAAACATGATTGAGATTGGGAAAAAATGTATTCTCCCTAATGTATAAGGAGTACCTATAATTACATTTTCTGAGCTCTACTTCTTTTACAGGAGTAAGTCACGCTGATGATTTGGGATACATTTTGCAAGCATCCTGGGGTCAACCCTGGAAATCAAAAGAGGAATGGGCTAAGTCGCGACTGCTCATTAATGTATGGCTGTCATTTGCAAAAACTGGGTAAGCTGAATAATTCTGAATATTCTCAGAATGATTTTTTTAATACTAAATTTGAACTTAAGACGACCGTTCCGAAAGTGAGATCTCCAGCCGTCTTGGTTGACAGCTTTAGTTAATCCATTTGATCAAAAATAATCTCTTCTTGACAGCCTTTCTTTTTTAAAAATTTGACTAAGACAGTCAATATGCAATTTTGCAATTTCAAATCATTAATAGGTCAAAAGCACATGTCTATGATAAAAAAAAGCGCTTTAGTACTTGAATTATTAGAGACAGTGGAGAGAAAGAAGAGGAAAAAAAAGCGATTCAACTGTCTGAGTGTCTAAATGTAATATTGACTTGTTGCGTAGGGCTTGCTTAACATTAAAGTGTTTCCTGATGCCATGTTGAACACATGAAGCCACCATCGGCAGACTGACGTCAATTTTAATCACTAACGTTCTGATATCTTGGAAATTGATTTGTTTGTTTTTGAAAAGTGTACCCTCAGTCGGCAGTACTGAGTGGTTGCCGGTGTCAAGGAACATCAAACGAACTGGTGACATTGATTACGTAAAGATAAATAGCTACAAAGATGTGGAGTCTATGAAAAAACCCAGCCTCAACTTCTACGAATTTTGGACTTCATTTGCTTATTCCCCGTACTAAACGATCCAAAAATAAGTCAAGGAAAAAATCATCTACTACTGAAGCTGCACTTACAGATTTTGGAGGGTCACAGCAAGTGTATGGAAGCATTGCCAACTGACCAGAGTAATTATGATCGGCTTGTTGATTTCAGTTCAACAGAGGTGATTAAGATAAGGTGAAAATGATTTACAACAAAAGATTGTACATAAAGTTTGTAATTATTAACAATTTGAATAAAAACTTCATTTCCAAAAGTCCATTGTTTCATGTAAGAAAAGAAACAGGTGAAAAAATGGAAGAAAATAAAAAGAAAAAACAACAACTCGTGTGATACAATGGGATTGATACGAAAAACAATAAAATGCTATTCATCTTTAAATGCATCTGTTATTATTGACTTCAGATCAAACCCAGTTTTAACATCCCTGGCTCCCTTTAGCGTCTTCTTCAATTTACTATAAAACCCTAGCTGCAGAAGAGAATTGAAAGACAAGATATTGAATGGTTTCATTCTTTCCGCTCTTCAGCAGAATTTTTGAAAGAGAAGTTTTGAACTCCGTAGAAAAGAACAAAATGCTATAATGAGGCCAGAGTCTTCTTAAAAAATAATTTTTCACATAGCTTAATTTTGATATGCTGATTAATAGCCGAGTCCAAAATTGAACTTGGGTACTTAAAGAATGGAACACAAAAACAGCAAAAAATGAAGTTTCATTGAAGTTTGTCCAACAGTTCCAAAACTTCCAATTAACCTTGAAAATGACTACAAATTGAAACAAATTGACGCAAAAAGTAAACTAAAAGTTGCACCTTCTCACCATTCCAGATTGGTGACTCCAGTAAGTGAAACTAAGCGAATAAAAGAGAAGTTCAATTCTTTGCACCAGCTACACGTAAGGTAAAACTTCTGGAGGAGACCTAAAAATTTTGGAAATTACAAAACCTCAACAAAGTAAAGTGAAGTATCCACTACCTGACCAAGTGAGAGATGGGGCTAAGCTACATGCTTGCAAATATTGCACACTTTAAATGCATGACTCCATCTAAGAAGGCAATTCTATAGAAGCGATAAGGTCCATTTCAGTACTTTCGTGGATATGCCTTTTTTCAAGAAAAGATGGATCCTCTAAGCTTTATGAAATCAAAATTAATATATTTAAATGGTAATTTCTGAGGAAGAAAAATTAGCATCTGAAGTTGGTGGATATAAAAACAATCGGTCAGATAATGGAAATGTCTGAGGTATGATACTTTTTGACAATGAACCTTTAAACACATACGAAGATCTGACTTGATTCTTTAAAAGATGAGAATTTACTCATTGGTTTTCATTGCAGTCGAGAAACAAGAAGAAAAAAATTACCCTGTTCTCAGCCATATGACAACTTTCAGATGTAATAAGCATTTTAAAAAAAGCCAAAAACTTGGGATGTGCTTTATTTTGCTGATCATTGTGCACAGATGCAGGATTAGAAATGAACAGGACTAGATCTTACGCCCCTTTATGACGCATCCTTTGAACGAACTTGAAGAGAGTAGGGAAAATAAATTGGGCTGGTCTGAAGTAACAATTACAAATGAAATTGAAAATCAAACCCTTCAAGAGAGAGAGAAGATTTTATCACAAATGCTTTGTCTATTTGTCACTATAGAATACATTGAAGAAATATTCCTTAAAGTTCCTAAACCACAGCAGAAATGTTTAAAGTCAGCGGTCTCTGGACTACGTTTTCTGTTAGGTTGGGCTTATTCGGGGAGGTAAAATTTGGATACGTAGAGAGAAGGTAGTTTTTGATTGATTTAATCAATAATTTTCTTGGAAATTTGGTAAAATTCTGCGTGCCATAATTACTTTGAATGGTGACAATGGGAAGACCCTTGATTTTTTAAGAGTACTTATAAATTGCTTGGAAAAATCAGAAACTAGAATGCAGGATGCTTTCTGGTGTAATTGATACTCACAAGAATTATCACGAGAAAAACTTAGAGATTCTTTGCCCAAGAAAAAAAAAAGGCACCATTAAACAAGAGAAACCAAGTGACCTCTTCTACAACCTCTTCTCTCCTCCGAAAGAAGAAAGAAGAAAGAAGAAAGAAGAAGAGGTTTGAGGTTTCATTCCTACGTGTGAAAAACAAAGTGTTATGATATAGTTACGTACATTTCCTGTCATTGCAACACTTTTTTCAAACCTAACATCTTTGAATCATTTAAGATGTTGTTGTCGTCCAACCAACATTTCCTTAAAAAAGAACTTTAAGTGATATTCATGTACTTGAAACATAGAGGACTTGAAGTTTCTAGTGGGAGAAAATGTCCTTTTTAAAACGTTTTAAACTATCTTTGCCTCATTCTTTTTACAGAGTCACTTGGTTCTGTTCCACTGAACGCTATGTTTGTGTCCCCAGTTTTTCAGCATGAGAAAACTGCTCCAGTAACTCTTTCAGAGGGATTTAATACAGTGTTTTACTACTAAATAGCTAAATAATCAAGACTGCACCAGACACTTTTACAAAATTCTAATTAGGACAAGAGTAAAAAGAATCTTTCTCAGAAAAGAAAGAGAACCAATTCCAAAAAACAGATCAGTTACTGTACAAAGAGGATTAGAAAAAGTTTCCAAAAAAGAAAGGCATTCACTTGCGGTGCAAATGAAAAAATATAAAAAGGAGGACAAAGATCCTGAGAAAGAAAGCAAAATCGAATTAGGAATGATCCAATAGGTTTGAGCCTCTAACACGAAAACTCTTGCTCAAAGTCTATTTATTTCACTCTTGGAAAAATGCTAATTGAGCAAAATCGAAAAGGTGTCAGACAAATGCATGATACACTGCATTTTACTCAATCATGATTTCCTCCAGAATATTGGATCACCGAAAAGGTTTCTGGATGGATTAACACTCATCACTCTGTTTTCTTTCATCGTTTCTGACAGAAGAGCAAAACAATGTGGCCAATACCAGGGTACTCTGGATGTTGTTCTACTGACATCATTCTTCTTGCCTCAAAAACTTTCGTCTATCTTAGAATATCATAGATTGATAAGACTAATTGTTCAAATCCCTGTGCTAACTCATCTTGATTTTATTGGTTAGGGTACTGAATTATCCTGCTCTTGGTTATCTCATTCATGCAACACATTCTCATTCGGCAAGGAAATGCGGCTGAAATTTTCCGACCTGTCAATGGCAATTCAGGGTTTTCCAGTGATGCCAAATAGTACAGCAATAGCTACCCAAACCAGTATCAGTTGAGAAAAGACACGTTGTCATTAAAAAGCCGACAAGATTTATACAATTTTCCGAACAAAAGAGAGGGTTTTCTTGAATACTCTTCTCGTGATTGTAGGAGGAACAAATAAAGAGGTTGACAATTCTAAAGCTCTCACGGTGGCATTAGTAAGTAAAGATAATACTAAAAACAAACGGTGAATGACATACATGTTTTGCGATTTCGATTATTTGCTGTTTTTTTGATTAAATAGATTTATATCCTACCAAATGCTGGATGATCAAAGTTTCATCATAACATTATTCAGCCATTTTTTACCAAAAATCTCTCAGCCCAGATGCAAGATGAAATAGACTTTTGAAAAAAATTATGATCTAAAATTCGCACAGTCATGAGGGGAAGCAAGGGGAGAGAATAGATTCTTTGGTTAGGCAAAGCTAATCAAGTTTTGAAAACTTGAAAAAAACTATGGTCAACTCCTGAGATTACATTATTGGATGGAGACATATTTTTTTGGTGCACAACATTCTTTAAACAAATTCAATTCAGAACATATTTAAAATACAAGCTGAGATTTTTTAGTGATATCAGAAATAGTTAAAGGCTCTTAATAAAACAGTTTGAAACCTACGTCATTATTTTTTTTCCTCGTCATGAGGAGAAAGTTGGAAGAAAGTCTATCAGCAATTTGAGTCAACCGATAGAACAAAAATTGAACACTTTTAATGACAATGTCTACAAGTGGCCTCCTACATGCCCAATAAGAGAAGTGAAATTTCCGACAAAGAGAAAAATAATTAACACAAAAAACAAAGATTGATATCAGTAAGAGTTGAAAAATAAGGGAAATAATACAGAATTTAAGAGGTAAATTCTAAAAGAAAGTAGAATGAGAACAATAAACGAGTGAAAAAGTGGAAAAAGGTTCAAGAAAAGGAAAAGGACAGTCCCGTCTCACGGTGAAGTTGGAAAAATCTAACTTACATTCAATGACTCATAATTTCTTCTTCGATACCATCTTTTCAATTTCATACAACTCTGAAATAACCACTTCCTCTTGTAAAGAATGGCTGAAATAACCATACCATGACGAGAGAATTCTCTAATGACTGAGTTTTCTCACGAGTTGCATGCATAAACTTTTTGTAATTAAAGTTTTGGACGGTCCAGTAACTAGTCAACATCCATTGAAATGTCATGTTGAAGGTGAGATGATAAGTGAATGGAAACTTAACTTTTTTGGGGGTAGTTCCTGAGGGGAAACTTTAAAGATGTGAGACCGAACAGGTCCTTTACGATTGGTCACTCGATGATGTTGCTGCCTGTTCTCTCCGCTTTTCTTCGATCCATTTTTCGATACTTGCTTTCAGTTCGGTATTTGATTTCACCATGTCCATGGTCAGAGGTTCACGGTTGAAAGGATCTGACTGGTCACTCAAAAGGTGCCTGAAAAAAAAATAATAAAAATAAGAAAATAATAACAGTGAAAAAGATTCTTTGTCCAGACCGTCTGACAGCTTTAATTTTTTTTTTTTTTTTTTTTTTTTTTTTTTTTTTTTTTTTTTTAAATGTAAGTTTAATGTGAACTTCTTATAAGGAATTATACACATTGTTTCTAAAATTATAAATAGAGAGATTATACAAGCAACAAAGAAACTTACAACTCGTAAGTAGCAGTGTATTTAAATTTTTGCGAAGAAAAAAATCAAGGATCATGGAAGAAATGGAAATTACTAGGCAAAAACGAAGTAATATATATGATCCAAAGGTGGTTTGCTCATGCAAAAAGATTGGCAACATTTTACACTCATCCTTTGAAAAAAAAAAAAAATAAATAAATAAATGCTGAACATTTTAATTGACTTTTCCTCCCGAAAGTTTAGCTGATTTTAGCATCTGAATCATAGTTTTCGATGGAGGGCGCTCTCTAGTGTTCCAAAAGAAAAGTAGTTAGGGTTTTTCATCCAAATTTTTTGTTGTTGTTAATTTCTAATCAAGAAAATAGCAGCTTGAAAAACAATTACTGTTTTTAACCGATCATAGGAAAAGAACCTTTCCAAGAGAGGGATGTTCTATTTGTAGGGAAGAAATTTTAGAGGGGCGCACGGTTTGTTGAATTCAGAGAGTTTCCGAAATTTAGTTACTGATGGAAGGCGCTCTCTAGTGTTTTGAAGAATGAGTTGCATGGGATTCAGCTAGATTTAATGACAATGTTTTGATCACTTCTTCGGACACTGTACACATCAAACCGTTATCAGAAGTTAGGGTTGCAATAATTTTAAGCGTGCCAGTAGGGCTTGCTTTTTTAAATCACTCAGATGTGCCGTAGTACAGCATACCAATAAAGCAATGCTATTCAATGGGTGGTCCAAATTTGTTCCTCTTTGGATCCGTTTTTTCGTGTTTCAACCGTTATACTGTCCAACCCTCATGGTCATTCACCAAAAAACCGAATCGACTTCTCAGGGGAAACCCTTGAGAACAGTTTCCCATCAAAACCGTATAATTTAAAATGACAGAAACTTCAATTAAGCTTTTCTACGCTCAAACAACTCAAATTTAGAAGCTTAAATCCCACCACAACTTTGTAGCCAATGAGCGTCTTTGATATAAGTCCTTGTTCGATCAAAAGCGGGAGAACGTGAGGTGGTTCTTAAGTGGCCGCCATTATCCCACTTCGAATTTTTAGAATAAAAAAAAAAATAATGAGCATTGTACAAGGTGGAAAATTGCTCTGAAGGACCCATTACGGCTACAGAAGCTAAAATCAGAACTTCATTTTGAATGATTGATTGATTTAATTCATGAAAATTTTCTTCATTTTCTTTATTCAATGAAGTTAATTTACATTCAACGTTCATGATTGATGTTTTTTTAAATTTAGTAAGAAGTACCAATTGATACACATAGCAAAGACATGAAAATATGTAGTATGTCTCCAACATTTCAGTTGTTTGGTCAACATTTCAGTTGTTGTTATTTTTGCTTTTCCCTGACTCTCAAATGTTCTACTTCTCCGACTTTTTCTGACTTTTGAAAAAAATGTTTGAAATGAAATACGTCCACCTTTTCTTCCCTTGAAATATGCTACGTTTTGCTAACCTTTTAACAAAATTTCCTTGTTCAGAGGTCAGATGATAGATAAAGGCTAATTCAGTAGCAGGTTAAAAGATGACAAGCCTTAAAAATAACCAGCTGGATAAACAGTTGGAAGAGCATCGATACTTTCTAGTGATTAGTAGATGTGTCAGAAATTCCCTGACTTTTCCTGGTCCTCGCAAATTCCCTGACTTTCCAAACCACCGGCAACCCTAGAAGTTCTTAATGAAATCATTACCAGACAAATACTTGTTTTATAGTCTGAGGAAGTCTCTTACCGCGCGATTGTCGTCCTATCTACTGTTGTTCGAGAGGATGGTAAGATGACTGGGTCTGTCATTAGAGTAGACATTATGGGATCCAAGAATTCGTCTGGAGCTTCGGCAAGAAGAATTTCATCTGTTTTCTGTTGACTTTCCAGTAGAGCTACTCGCTTTGCGACAGTTTGCAAATCAGCAATTAAGGCACCTCCTCCAATTCGAGCTACCAAAAATGAAAAACAATGAATATACCAAGTGAAACTGTGATCCCTCAGACTCAAGGTACCAAAAACCTCAATGGATCAATGGAGCTCACCATTTAATTATGTTTTGATAGTTATAACTTATAAATAATTACAAAATTAAATACATTCAATCTTCTGCAAGAATGATTTTTTGTACAATTAAATGGTACACATGATTTACTAAAGTTGTTTGAGACAAAAAAGGGATTTTGACAGCAATGATTCCAATACATCTTTTGACAAAATGATGAAGATATTGTCAAGTTGGACACTCGAAAACATAATTTTATGGATTTCTTTTTCACCTAGAGGCTGAGGGTTAGAAATCATGAAATAATACAGGATTACGAATTTCTTTTGAAAAAAAAATAGAATTTTTGTGCCAAATCAATATTTTTACAATGAAATTCAGATATTATAAGGAAAGTGTCATATTTCAGTTAAGTTTGCTTTATCGTAAGCTTGAGTTTCATTCCATTACCTCACTTGACATGAGGCAAAAAAAGAATTATTTTTGCTGAGGTTGTAACTTGAATAGAACATAATAGTGCAAAAGATACTCACACAAGACTTGCTCTGCCAGTGAAAACAACTGAGGACTATAAGAGCGACCATCACGAGACACAGCAGCACAGAAAGAATCGTTCTTCCCCAGATGTACGTAAATTTTGCAGATATTCAGGACAAGATTCGCTGGATCAAATTTGTACTCTTTCATATCCCTCACCTATTAAGAAACATAATTAGAAACATGAGGACTGATGATTTTAGATGCATCCGAACTACTGTTTGCTAAAGTCTAGATTGATTGAAATGGTCACTACTTTCAAAAACTCAAAACTTCCTCTCACTTTTGTTTTATTTTTGCTCTGTCTTTTTTACTTAAATTTTGCTTTGCACACTTGCAGTTGTCGAGCAGAGACAGAAAAGAGAAACAAAATCTATGATACTCTCTGATAGCATACTGCTGTTAGATAGTAATCATCATTTTATTTTTAATCATGAAAGTCATGTGCATGTCACTATAAGGTAAGTTACTTGATGATAAAATCACATTTCAATGGATAACAGGTTTGACTATATGACATAATGACATTGTTCAACAATGCAAGCCTTTAACTTGAAAAAAATTGACTTTTTGGGAAGATATTAAGAAAGAAAGAGAGAGGGAAAAAACTGAGGAAATCGATCGAAAGAATTCATTTTTTTCGCCTCACCTTGAAGTTCTTTTTCTTTGGTCCGACTAAATGAAAAAGGAAATAATTCAACATAGCTGCAACTCGATCTACCATAGTAGAATGGACAAATATCATTTGAATTTCTGACGACAAATACTCTAATGTGTGAATGGTTTCTCGGCCAAGAATGCAGTCGAACCTGGCGATCATGCCGATATGTTGAAAGTTTGCTTCGTTTTGCTCTCGTTCTCGCTGCGGTAGTGCCTGCCACTCCCCACTCTCCTTCTTGTTTTGGAGCTGCTTCAGCTGGGCCATGTTTGACAAAGCCTCATCCAACAAGTAAACAGCATCATTCATCAGCAGGTTAATGAACCGTAGAAACAGAGGCGGATTGACTGCTTCGATATTAGACTCAGCTTCGATGGCTAGATTGCGGAAGGATTCCCTTTGCTCTGGCAAAGTCCAAAGGTAGTTCATCACGGTGTACATAGGCCGGCGGTAGTTGAATTTCTGCTCGAATTGAACACTCTGCCCAGTCATTTCAATGCCTACAAACACGTCCAACAATGCTGGGACAATTTCAGCGCGAAATGGATGTTCTTGGAATAACTTTTCACGGTAGAAAAAACCTAGGGGATTAGGGTTGATGGCAGGCGCTTCTTCGTCCCTGTTCGGGATCAGATGCTCTAAACATTCTGCTAGCTTAGCTCGTAGATGAGGATTTCTAACAAAGTTATTTGAACCCATAAAAACTAAGATTAAAGTTAATAATGGCTCTAAGAGTTCTAATCCTTCTTCTTCAAGAGCTCTAGGGTTCCAGCGGCGAACTAGCATCAAATAACTCCACAGGTTTTCTAATAAGAATTCTGGAATGCACCTGTGGAAACAGAGAAAAGACTTGATAGTAAAACATGTTTTGTAGGGAGAGGCCCTTACTATTAAAGGACACAGTGTTGTGTTAATGAAAAAATTAAACACTAAGAAGTGGCCAGAAACTGTATGTAACAAGGTGGAGTACTGGTGCGCATTAGAGTTGTAAAAATTTATTTTTGACTCTAATTTTAATTTTTGGTATTTCTTGGCTTTGCTTCCCCGCGAAATAGTGTTGTGTTATTGATCGAAAAACAAGGGGAGGGGGGAAGCAACGTCCACTCAGAGCGGTCTACAGCACTTGCATTTTAACATTTTCTATCCGGTTTTTGCGTGGCTTCAACTTTGATCCTTCATAATTTTCGAGGCTGCTTGTTTCTACAAAACTTACAGCCACTTGTTAGACATGGAATAAGACAGTCTCTTTAAAAAATTTGTTGTCACTCGGATAGAAAAATAGTGATCTTTACATTTTCTCTATACATAAAAACTGTAAAAAATGCACAGAATACAGCTTGAAAATTGAACCCTCCGATTTCTTTCTCCAGAATCTTAAACAAGGCAATTTCAGACATTTTTAAGTGGAAACCGTGTGATATTTTCTTCCGTTCAGAAAATACCGAGGTACAAAAATTCTGACTCCTGTGGCTCCTCCAAAATTTAAATACTGGTTAAAAAATTGTGTTGCTGGTTACAAAACCAGTAACGAATTTTGAGGCTGAACATAGCCCTGTAATACTGGTATGAATTTCATTAATATTCAAAAGGAAAAATTTTGGGGGTTCATTCGTAGGGTCATTGACCTTGAATTAACTTTTTAAATTGCAAGAGGAGTAATTCAATAGAAGTTTCACAAGGACGGTTAGGGTGAAAAACCAGGGCCGAGATAAATTAAGAAAAAAATCATGAAAAATGTACTTACGTCAAAGTAACTAATCTAGAAGAGGATTCACTTTGTCTCAGTTGAGAGATAACTACAGGTCGCATTTTTAAAGGCGCATAGGGCGGGATTTCAGTGTTGACAGCTACTTGAACTAACCAAACAGCCGTTGCAAGGAAAAACTTGCCAACTAAACTGAGATAGGTTGGCTCTAACAGTACAGCTTTCATTGATAAAAATCTGAGGACAAGTTTGAAATACAGTTGTTACAAACATTTAAAAAAACTTGGAAGTTACATTTGATCTGATGTAATTCAACATATTTAGCAAAAAAAAAAAAACAAACAAACAAAACGTGAGGAAAAGTAAAATTTGAAAAAAAGTAAGAGACATCAAAATTCTGGAAGGAAAAATTACATCTTTTTTAGAGGCTAAACTTCTTAATCCAGCACTTAATTCCGTGGGAAAAGGTAAATTAGTGCTAATAATCCCAAAAATGAAATGTTTGTGCCAGTACTTCAATCAATGTCTTAATAAAATGTTGGCACAAAAACCACCAAAAATGTCCAATAGAACACTGCACCCTTTAAGCTGTTGACAGGTTTAAAGGAGCCTATTGCATGAATCTGGTTACTTACTTTTTCATATCAACTTCCATTTGCTCGTGGACCACTCTCATGACATCATTGTTCGTTCCACCAACTTGCTGCTGAGCATCTAAGAAGGCAGATTGCATGCGTGCTAGGTCCTGATTGACTCGAATTAATTTATCTAACACTACTCGAAAACTAAGGTCTATCGCTCGGTGAGTCATGAAAAAACATTCAGTTATAAATGAAAATGGCTGTTCAGAGATTGGCCTTTCAGTATTCTCCTCCGCTGGGAGTAGGCAAGTTTCGGTGCACAATTTTCTTAGATGTACGCCTTTCGACTGACTACCCTCATCCGTTGTTATCTGAAACAGACATAATTTAACAATTCAGTAAACGGAACTCTGGGTAAAAATTTGGCAGGATAAATCCATTTGAATCGTTTAATCCATGGATAAATCAATAAAACCAGTCTGCCAATTATAACTTGATTGAGTTATTAATTGATTTTATTACCATGCATGAATAGTAGGAATCCAATGTAAAGTGCAAATTCCTTTTTCTTGCTCAACATTTACAACAACATTTATTATGACAGAAGAAAAAAAAATTCCAACGGTAATGGAAATTTTTTCGATAAATGGTCCATCCATGGAAATTGAATGGCTAAGAATTTTTCAAATATTGAGGGAATAACTCGTTTTTTCAGGGAAATAAGGACGCAAAGAGAGTTTTCAAGGGCTCTCATTTTGAAAACTTATTTGCAGATTTTCCTCACAATAATCATTCATTTTTCAAGGGTAAGTAAAAGGAATGAGAACTTACCTTCACAGCACAATATGTTGGATCAATTTTGAAAAGTTTAGGATCTTTCACATTCCTAATGAAGGGTTCCGAGAGTTTCAATAAGAGGGCGCTAAGGTTCATCGCAAATCCATCGCCAACAATCGAAAGGGACCCTGTCAATGCAGCGAAAGGGTCAGATGCGGTGTTCCATAAATTACCTCGTGCTGCATTGGAGTCCAAACATGTGCCTAGCCACCGAAGAGTGATGTGCCTGACGTTTGCCGAAGCTTTCAGCAATGTATGGAATAAGGAATGTAAATGGTTGTGCAGATTCTTCAGGCCTGACCAAATGTTCCCTTCCACCGACTCCGACACCTGTTCAAAGATTTCGTTTTTTGAAACAACTTCCATCATTTACACAGCTGAACTTGGTAAGCTAAAAAAAAGGGGGATTTGACCTTTTTGTCTAGTGTGGAATGGTCCAAGGAAAAAAAGTCTAATTTCCTTAGTCTACTGTCATTTGGTCCACAGACGACCTGTCTCACAAAAAATGTCTAGAATGAGTTGTGTCTAAGTACTGTCATGAAATACATGCAATTTTAAGCCTCTACATTCATGGCTGAAACATGTTTGAAACCAAATGAGTGTACAGAAAAAAATTTTAAAAATGAAATAAGAGTACAATTTTTGGAGGAGCTCAAAATTCTGGTCAGAAATATTCCCACGTGTGTATTAAGTCACTTGTAGATGATTCACTCTCTGAATAGCAAAGCTTGTGGGATAAACATTATCTTGGGAATCATTAAAAATCCTGGTCCCTTGAAAATGGTACAGGAAATACAAAGATTAGTATCCAGTTAAGATTTTTTTAGCCATTTTGTGTCCATTTCGTGCAATTGATGGGTATAGCATGATCAATTTGCAATTTTAAGGAAAACATTTTATGATTCGGCGAAATGAACCAAAATTCCACCCCTTAAGAGCCACATCTGGTTCTCACCTATGAGCAAGCATCATAAAACTTGCAGGTATAATTTAGATAATTTTTTGCTTAAGTTTCTAGTTTTGTTTACAAACACAGTGGATACGAATATCTAACTAATCACCTTCTCTAGTATCATGTCATAGATTGGAGGGATTAACATTCTGCTGTGCTAAGGGAGAGAGCCATATGAATCTACAGAAATTGCCAAATTTCCTTTGATAAAGTGCACATTTTCAGGGAAATCTACTCATATTCATACTGCAATTTTTTAGAGAATTTTAGTAAAAAAAAATCCTACCTGAAAAATGCAAGAGAAAATAATCATACCTCTCCTTGAAAAAAAAATCCTTTTCGAAGGGAATTTGGCAACTCTTGAATGTTCATACAGCGTTTTCCCTTAGTGCGGCCATAGAATAATAGCTAACAGGGGGGCGGCAGTCGGCCATCTTTGCTCCGATTCTTGAAATTCCCGTGACCCCTGCTCAGCCACCGTTTCAAATTTCGCAGGGAAAAAGAGCAAAGTCCACTGCTCTCACCCTACGTTTCTCTGCCGTTTCAAATTTTGCGGGGAAAAAGAGCAAAGTCCGCTTCGAAAAAGTGAGTACACACGATCTTACGGGAGGATCTGCCAGTTACCTTTCTGGTAGCTATTATTCTATGGTGCGGCAGCATTGCCTTCATTGCGACGTCGCCATGTCATGGTCCTCAGTGCTTCATACTGAATTTCAAGCGCAAATACGATACTTGATTCAAAGTGAATAATACTCAGCCTGAAAAATTTAGTATTCACTTGATAGACTTCTATATTTTTTTATTTTCTTTATATATTTTTATTTTATCAATTTCCTTAAGTATTATACAGGGTGTTTCAGACCACCCGTACCAGGCCTTTTTCTCGGTTGATTTAGGTCGCACGAAGTCGGAGACCGCGGGGTTGGATAGGGAATTGACCCCAAGGAATCCGAATTTTGTGGTCCCGAAACCCCCCCACCCCCCTTGGGGGGTAAAGGGGGGGTCACGATGCTAAAAGTCACGGTTCCCGACCGAATTGCGGATGGATCGCATCAGAATTGAAAAGCACGGAAAATTTCACGTGAAATTGACCCCTAAAAATCCAAAATCGGACCATCCAAGGCCCAAAAATGACCCCTTAAAAAGGGGGACAGTACCCCCCTCCATAATTTCTCTTTGGTCTCAAAATTGACGTAAATTCTCCAGAAAAAGACGGTTTCCCAGGTAATCGACCCCGAGAAATCCAAATTTCATGGTCCCGAAGCTCCTCTAGCCCTCCTTGGGGGGTAAACGGGGGGGCCCAATTTTAAAAATCGGGGCTCCTTTCCGAATCGCAAATTGATTGCATCCAAATTGAGGAGCAGAACACATTTACATCTTAAGTGACTCCTAAGAGTTCTAATAGGCCCCCTGAACGGCAGAAAGTAACTCCCTGAGGAGGGGGGCCTCGCCCCCGCCAAAAATTTCTCAAGATTCCTCAATGGTCGCAAAATTGACGTCGATTCTCCAGAAAAAGACGGTTTCCTATTTAATCGACCCCGAGGAGCTCAGGGAACATGAAATTTAGAGTCCTCGGGGTCGATTACATAGGAAACCGTCTTTTTCTGGAGAATCGACGTCAATTTTGCGACCATTGAGGAATCTTGAGAAATTTTTGGCAGGGGCAAGGCCCCCCTCCTCAGGGAGTTACTTTCTGCCGTTCAGGGGGCCTATTAGAACTCTTAGGAGTCACTTAAGATGTAAATGTGTTCTGCTCCTCAATTTGGATGCAATCAATTTGCGATTCGGAAAGGAGCCCCGATTTTTAAAATTGGGCCCCCCCGTTTACCCCCCAAGGAGGGCTAGAGGAGCTGCGGGACCATGAAATTTGGATTTCTCGGGGTCGATTACCTGGGAAACCGTCTTTTTCTGGAGAATTTACGTCAATTTTGAGACCAAAGAGACATTATGGAAGGGGGTACTGTCCCCCTCTTTAAGGGGTCATTTTTGGGCCTTGGATGGTCCGATTTTGGATTTTTAGGGGTCAATTTCACGTGAAATTTTCCGTGCTTTTCAATTCTGATGCAATCTATCCGCAATTCGGTCGGGAACCGTGACTTTTAGCATTGTGACCCCCCCCTTTACCCCCCAAGGGGGGGTGGGGGGGTTTCGGGACCACGAAATTCCGATTCCTTGGGGTCAATTCCCTATCCAACCCCGCGGTCTCCGACTTCGTACGACCTAAATCAACCGAGAAAAAGGCCTGGTACGGGTGGTCTGAAACACCCTGTATATTCTTTTTTCTTATCTCTCTCTTACAAACGCTTGTTAAGATTTTTTAAAATCATTGAATTAAGTCTTTTATTATATTTTCTATCTGAATGCTGTTCCATTGTCCAGACACCCACCACTCCAGCTGTGTTCTCGGTGGGGGATGGAGCTTAAGTTTAATTATTGTTAATGTGTCACAGAACTAAAATAAATGAATTGAATTGAGACTTAGAGGACTAACCTGCTCCATTGGTCTGTCAAAGAACTCATGAGATTCTCCTACCGAGCGAGGTAAACATGATATACTTAATATTGAACCTAGAAGGGTGTCTTGGAACGTTTTTCCAACAGCTGCATTTGAAGGAGTGCTATGGTCAATTATCACCTGAAAAAATGAAAATGATCAAAATAAGATTCAAGGACAGCAGATATGATGAATTCTCACTCAGAATAAAAAAGAACTATTTTTATAAAAAAGTGGTCTCTTTTTTAGGTATTTAAACATAGAGATTAGGAGATCAGGGAGGCTGAGTAATAAAGGAAATGGCTCAACCCGAAAACTGCATGTCTTCATCTCTTGCATTGTAGATTACTCGTCATACTTAATTCTTTAACTGGGTAACTAATCAAGGTGCAAAATTTCTCGACAATTTCTATGATTAGTCTTCCTTCGTTAAGACAATATTCTTTGAAAAGTTTGAGTATGAAAGTTGGCTTGTTTTCTTTGAAAAAGAAGGTGGAAAGGCATTTTTGAAGCACTAAAATGGGGATAGGTAACAGATTTCTGAATTCAGCCATCAAGTTATAAATGCCTGACAATAGGGACCTATCAGGATGCCAGCTTCCAAAAGTCCTGGTTAACAGAGAATGGAAATTAGATTTTTTCGTTGAAATTCATTCTTCTCTTTTGTGAATCTTCCCTTGTTGCTAAACCAATTTTTAATTTTTCTTTCTCACTTTGGAGCTTTACTTTTAGCTTGGTAAGTATCCAATTCAAAATTGAGACTGTCCTCGATTCTAATAAAAGGTTCTTACATTTGTTTCTGTCGCAATTCAGAGGGTTATTAAGAGGGGAAAAGCTTTGTGCATTGAAGGGATAACTTACTTGAGCAAGATGAGGATTCGAGGCAAAAACTTGCAGTAAATAAAAGTGTGAGAGAGGTAAGATCAAGACAGAGGCTATCTTGAAATCTTCATGTACAGCGTTGAGAGTTGGTGTGAACGCAGTCAACATGACAGCCATCCCATCCGCTTCTTGAAGAAATTCCTTAGCAACGTCGAGGAAAAATGAACTAAGCTCTTGATCAGTCGCATTGTTTGCCACGAAGAAATTAATGATCTGACCAACAAACAAGAATAGGAATAAATTGTTATACTTACAAATATTGAAACTATAGACTCTACAGAGGCCATGATGGTTTCAGTGGCCAAAGTTCTAATAACAGCGGACGAATTTAGGGCCACTAAATAGTTTGCAGATTCTGCTGTCCACCTCATGCACCATGAACTGATAAGTTTTGGAGAATCTTTTTCACTTGACCTTAGTAAGAACCCTAAATTTAAGATATTTTCTTAGCAAAAATTTAAAAAATATCAGGTAAGGAAGTAATCTGATTAAGTGAAAAGTGAAATGTCAAAATTGCTTTGATATTAAGAGGTTGTTTGACCTTGCGTTCATTACAGTTAGATTACTTACTTAGGTACGTTAACTTGTAATAAACTCCACATTAGATCAGGAATCAATTTTGGCTTACTTACCTGTTTGGGCAAATTTTGTGACTCATATAAATCTGGCTGTTTTAACGCTGTTGTTACATTCCGCAAAACTAGTCCAATCATTTCTGCGATGCTCTGATTCTTTTTTTCCGATGAGGTGCCATTCCTGCGGCCGAATAGTCTTCTGTAGCATTCGAATAGGTAGGACAGGCACTCTTTGTCCACGAAGTGACCATCATTGATCCCATTACGATTTGGATTGCAACAAATGAGACTGCCACTTGGATTATCCAGTAGAAGTCTTTCAAACAAAACTTGTTCTAGGATGGCTGCATCCGATATACCTGCTTCTGCGACGCTATCTGAGGGTTCGATATAAACAAGGGACCCAATATGTTCAGTTTGAATACAAGCATTGCTTTTAGATGTGGTAAAACCGAATACCTCTGCAACTGTCTGGGCAAAGAAAGAATTGAGGTTTGACTGAGCGGAATCCGACATAATTTAGTGATAACGTTGATGAGAAAAAAACCACTGTGATAATGCTGTCGTCATCAAAGCATAAGATTGGAGCAGAGTAAAAAAAAACTTAGCCTTTTCAGAATATTGAAGCCAAACACCAGGTTACAAAATTCAAAGGACTGAAAACTACTTAAAAAACATTATGATTTTGAGGCAACTTCACACTAGGTTGCGTTGGATTGCATGAAAACTTCAAGCTGAATTTAATTTCTGAAACGTGTTAAGGCAAGAAACCCTCGGGATACACCGACTTGACAACAAGACACAGTAACACAGAGTCACTTCACAAGCACAAAGGACGGAGAAATTGTATAAAATCCAAACTTGCTTGATAAGAAAGTTCAGTGAATATCTCCGCCGTGTTCCTGCAGGAAGAAAGCAAAAAGCATGAAGTGGAGGAAAATAACCATTGCATCATCAGTGCCGCACTGTAAATTTAATTTACTTTTTCGTATGAGAAACCATTGATAAACTCTTTAATTTTATTTTCAATTTGACATGACAACCATGTTCAATTTTTCTCGGTGGCTCATCATTAATCGGCCGGAAAGTCCACCAAGTAACTCTGAGTTATTCGTGTTTTGATTCCTTATCGCATCGCTCCATTATCACTATTGACTATCATATTAATAATAATTGTGTTACTCAACATTATTCACGAAAATTGCGGAAAAATAAACTGTTTGTTGCGGAGTTTTGGTAGCATAATGGACGGATCGAAACTGTTCTCTGAAAAAATCCTTTAAACATTCCTCTCGCTCTATTTTTCTGTTCGGTTCAGTGATACTCATCAATGGTCAGTATACCCATATTTCTTTTTTAGCCTTAGCATTTTGAGTTTCGCAGCAATTGTATTTCCTGAAACAAGTTTGAAATTTAGATCTTCTAATAGTCCATTGGCTTCTATCAAGTGTTTTGCATTGTACGTGTACGCTGAATTAGTGACGAGGGGGATGTAAGTGTCATGAGCAGACCAGACGACCGTACTGGGCAGTCTGCTATTCGTTGAGTTCATTTGTTGCTTATATTATTGTCATTTCAGAAGTTCCAGTGAATTGAAACAAGGGGTTGTGCTTTTCTGTCCATTTCCTGGTACTAAGGATATTCATTTCTAGGGAATCTTAATTGCACCCGTTGGAATATTCACCTGCAGGCTTTCCATATGCACCTCACTCCATCCTCCTACAATTCACACTGTTTTTACAAGCAATGGGTATTCAAGTACTAGCTGATCGATCAACAATGAAACTACTGTATTAATTATCTTGTTTGCGGGATCTCACAATATTTGGTTCTCACGTTACTTTTTTTTAAGAAGATAATATCATTCTTTGGAGATTTTACTGACTTTTCTTCGCATGAAGAAGAAAAAGTACAAAAGTTTTCAAGATAAATATTTGATAAGTTTAAAATTAAAGTACAAGTAACAGGAAGTCTGTTAAGTTGCAAACCAGTATATTTCGCCTTGGAGTTTCACTGTCGAAATATAATCTGAAATAAGGCAGTGTAGGTTTTGCATAATGATTTGTAAAGTAAGACATGATTACTTACATGACAATGAAACAGAAGCTATTACTGTGTATTGTCCACAATAAATGATATTGTAGTAAATTAAGGCACATTATCAAAGAGAGCCAGTTTTTGTCGAGTTTGGCCAGATTTGCGTTTTATTGTAAGAAATCAGTGACATCTCAAAAATAAGCTGCGAGCATTTTTTCATCTCATTCATTTTTGAGTCAAAAGAGGACCTAGATTGCATCACAGTTCAACTATTTTGGGCTTCAATCATGGCAGCTTACTATTGGGCAGTTTTTGTGCCATGAAGGCTTACAAACCACTATTCTGCGCAGTGTGTCGTTGCCTCAATTTTGAGTATTTCGGTAACAAGGTTTCTTGTTTGTGGATGATTTCATGCAGACTAAAACATACTGTATTCATAAAATGCATTCTGCTGAACTTAAGTTGAAATAATTTTTTTGTTCTAGGTTTAGACCTACTTTCCAACCATGAATTCGTCCGAAAGCCCTAGTCAGTCGTCCAATTTTCACTTCTATCTACCAAAGAGTAAGTTGATTCATCACAAGGAGTTACCACAGCTGATATTCTGCAAACCAAAGTTAATGCCTCTAAAGTCCCTGACTCTTGAAAAACTGGATGAAATGCAAAAGAATGCTGAAAGAAAAATTCAAGAATCGAGTGGTGAAAACTAAAGATATTGACCGTCTCAGCATTCCAAAGGTAATTCAGTCCATCATAACTTTTTACATATTGAGGCCTAGCAAAGTGCCTAACTGCAACAGGCGCCATTTGTAAAGAGCATCTAAAAATCAGGCAGAGATGCTTGAAAATAGATGTTTCAATGACTTTCAAATTGTTTTTTGAGTCCTTAGACTTTTCTGAAGCATATTTTGGAGACTCTTAAAAAGTCCTCAAAATTTCACACATGACTGTAGTCAATTGATAAACTGAAATGAGCATTTGTCTCCAACCGTTATAGATTAGCCCTTTTGATACTAATTGATCAGGGAGATTTTTAATGACAAAAACTCTCATTCCATCCAACTAGTGTGCATATTTCTGTAAAAATTCCTCAAACCTAAATGTTCCTAGTGAATTGAAACAAAGTACTTTCCTTTTCAAAATGATATTATATTATATCTCCGAATGGAATTATATTACATTTTTCTTTTCAGAATAAATTATTTAGTTTCCCTTTTTGTTCAAAATCAAACAGCCCTGCCAGTATCAGTATTTTGCCCCTGTCAATATCTACCAAGGTTCTTTTCTGTTTCCATAGAAGCATTTAAGATGTCTGCTGGACCTCTAATTGTTGATATCATTGTGGCATTCATTTTGGCCGCTGGGCTCTTGTACCGCTACGGAAACTGGCAACGTCATCATTTTCTGGTCACTTTAGCGGTTCTCATTTCTTGGTATTTCTCTCTTCTCATCGTATTTGTTCTACCATTGGATGTTTCCTCTGTAAGTTGATTATTTTTTTTGTTCTCACTTTTTTTTTCTTCCTAAATATCAGTCAGTTTTTCTGACAGCTCTGATTTAGTGAGAAGATAAAAAGAAGAAACAGAAGAAAATTGAGAATGGGATTGATTAGTTTTAAGTAGCTAGATTAATCCCACCTTTGAAATTCTCACACTGATAATCTCTTACTAACATGAAGTCAAACCATTTTTCTGTAAAATGTAGAGGATTTGGACTCTTTTCTTTACATTTATCCTTTTTTTTAATGTAAAAATTCATTGTAAAATGAAACAGTATGGAATGATTGAAGGTATTTAACCCGGTTCAACCACACAAGTGCAGTTTATTTTCTCTCAATTCATTTATTTCGTTTATTTTTAAAAGATTAGTTCAGATTCATAAAAATGTTACATGCAGACTGCTCTGATAAAACACAATAAAGTTGAAATTTTGTTCTAATATTTTTTAGACTGTCTATCGACAATGTGTTCAGAGTTCTGAGAGCAATTCCTCCAGTCCTCATGAGAATTCAACTACACCATGCGCAGAGCCATGGAGTTCAGTACCAGACAACGTCTATCCAAATTTATGGAGAATAGTATACTGGACATCTCAATGTTTGACTTGGTATGTAATTTTGTAGATTTTTCTTGATATTTCTCATAATCAATTCCTACTAGGAATAAACATAAGTAAAAAAAAAAGTATCTACCGAGATTCATTACCAATTTAGTAAGCCAGTGAGTCCTCAGCATCCATAATTGTTTCTCCCCTTTTTTAATCACATTTAAATTTCACTGAAAATAAAATTTGTCAAAAAGTAAAAATCAGAATAAATTGTATACATTCACATGTAGCATTATGCAGCAATGAATAAACTTGTAGAAATTTCTTGAAGCTTATGACTCATGGTACCTGAACTTTTATTTTAGTCCAAACTGGACAAGGAAATAATCACCTGCCACGCTGCCAGATTTATTGTCACCTTCTGACCAAAGCATCACAAACGCCATGTTATGTTTTAAAATTTACGCTGCTATTTTAAGTATTTTTACAGAGAAATTGTTGGTTGAATCTGTCTGGAAATTATATTGGATTTTATCGGTAGCGCAAAAAAAATTCAGTGAAGTTTTCGGACTGCTTCATTGAACGATTTCTCTGTATAAAAATAAAATGGCAGTGGAAATTTTGAAACGTTGCATGGTGCCTGTGATACTTTGGCCGGAAGGTATGATTAATCAAATAAAAAAAGCCTATAAGTACCTTGAGCTGTACGTGTTCCAGATCTTATTCTGAGAGGCAGCATCTGAGTTTCCATCTGTTTTCTTATTCTAGGCTTGTCATGCCTCTTATGCAGTCCTACGCCAAAGCTGGGGAATTCACTTTCCGGGGTAAATTGAAATCGGCTATCTTAGACAATGCTATTTACTACGGCTCCTATATTTTTCTATGCTTCCTCCTCCTTGTATACATCACTTTCAAACCAGGTCTACAATTAGATGGGTGAGTACTTGATTTTTTGAATTTTTTTTTTGTGAGAAGCATTGTGTGCCTGCACTGTTCAGGTTTCTGTCTTGTCCATCTGATTTCCTCTCAGGAGTACTTTACTGATTGGAACTGCTTGTTCTCCAAGCAATTCGTTCAATCTCCTAATTACTATTTGTTCAATAAAAAAATTTCATCTCTTCATGTGAAGGGGCAACTTGTACTGTCTTCTAAGTTCATTTCATCAAATCGTCACCTTTTGGCCAAATTATCACAAGAGCCATGTGACAGTCAAAAAAATTTCGGCAGTCATTTTATTTTTTTACAGAGATATTGTTCAACAAAGCTGTCTGAAAGTCATTGAATTTATTTTCTTTGTGCTGCTGATCAAATTCAGTGAAATTTTCAAACAGATTCAACCAACAATTTCTCTGTAAAAAAATAAAATGGCACCGGAAATTTTTAAATGTCACATGGCACTTGTGATAATTTGGCTTGAAGGTGATAAAATGCCCTTTTTCGCTGGCTGAATATTTTGCCGCTCATGAATTCAGAGGATTTTGGGGTCAATTTAAAGTGTTATAAATGGACGTATGTCTGTCAAATGGAACTAAGCGCCGATTCAAGTTCCTTTTGAGGAATTTAGAATGCCGGATAGCGCGTTCTGTCAGACGGAACTAAGCGCCATGGAAGAACATTGCGGGTATAGGACGGAATGAGCCCGACGCCCGGTTCCGCTGCCAATCCAAGCCCACCGCTACCTTCCTCCCCATAGGGTGCTTCGTTCCGTTTGACAGAAACACGTCCAAATGGTTAATTGGATGAGGAGCACCTTCCAACGATTTGCCATTCAACGATTTGTCGTTTGGGCAGAGTCATAAAATTGAAAAAAGTAAAATCACTGTCAAAGAGGGTAGTTCCAAATTGTCTGTGTATGCTTGTCAAGAAGTTTCTCAGAAAAGTCACCTAATTTGTTCACTCTTTCATTTCAGTCAAAAATTGAAGGCGATTGCTTCTTCTGCAAGTAATACTTGGGGTTTATTCCTGCTAGTCATTCTCCTTGGTTATGCTCTGGTTGAAATCCCACGAAATTTGTGGCTGTTCGGTCAGCGTGGATACGCTCTTCATCATGCCTATTTTCGAGCAGCCAAACTGAATTTTGACAAAAGTGAGGCTGAGGAAACCTTGGACGATGTTCTTGAGGTAATTATTTTCCTCCATATTTTCAACCTTTCAGTAGTTTGAAGCGTGTCCGTAGAAAAGTTGTAGGATCACAGATAGACAGAACCACTGAGTTACTTTCCAGTAATGGGCCCTACATGAATTAAATCACAATCCAAGGATAGGCATCAGCCTTGAGAATTTCCCTGTCTTTTTTCTGATTTATTATCATCTAAAACTGAATTTTGATTTATATTTTTTCCATGTGCCTTGTTATTTTTCCTGTGAAAGCAACCGAGTATGCTTAAAGCATCTTGTTTGGCGCTATTTTTCTTTAGTTCTGTTTTGGTACATTTTTCTCAAGAACTGCTAGTCCCAGCAACTAAGTAGTCTTTTAATAAAGCCTATTTTAAGATTTTGATATTTTCTCTAGAAAGGAGAAGGAGGGAAAGTTAAAGACAGTATGATATCATTTTAGACCTACATTCAAGGCAGAGGGGTTCATAATTCCAATTTTTAGCTTGATGTACTTTATGGATAACTCCTTAGGGTTTGCATCTTACATCCACTTTGCTTTAAGACTGCTTCTTGTCATTTAACTTGAAAGAGCTGATGTATGCTTGCTATGTAACAGTTTGAAACCCTCCAGTTCCAAAATCTGTACTGTTCAAAGCCAAGGCTGGCCCTCTCAATAAAATGTCTCGATTTTAATGCGATGTTCATTTTTATTAAAACTGAATACCTTCGATTTTCCAGTCGGTCCAGTCTGTCCGCAATATAATCCACCCTAACGATCCTCTTTATCCTCATTTGGAAACGATCGTTGAGAAAATCCCTCCACCGATATGGCAGAGGTTGAAGAATAGACATCGAGTTTGTGATGATGGCTTGGACTCGCCCACTCTCAAGGCCCTTGTCAGATTACACAAGCAGGTAAACTAATTCTCTGCGTAACTCTTTTTTCATCGTTTGTCTTTTTACTCGCAATGATAACCTCTTTATCCTTTTCTAATGTTAGTCTTTGATGATGCAAATAAAGTTTCCTCACCTTTTACAGGTAATCAAAGCATTACAGACTTATGGTCGAACTGAAGCGCAATGGCAGCTATTAGTGGAGAGAGTGATTCTGTTGGAGGATGTGTCCAGGAACCAGTCTAGTCGCGATAGGAGGTTCAAACATTCCTTCCCGCAAAATAGACCCCTCTGGGTCAATCGTATTTTCACACCTTCCGTTGGTTCGTATTTAAATTTACTTTATTCTTTCATTTAATTTTGTCTGCACAAGCGCATCGTACTCCATCAATTGTGATATGGAATTTTAAATCTTCATCAAACTATCTTATAGGGAGAATATCATATGGGAATAGCTTCATATACAATGAAAATCATAACTTTGTGACTATATGTGACTCTGTTGCTAGCCCTGCATTGCTTGTTAGCCCTCTGCTATTCTGATGATAGGACAAGCCTGAAAATTTCATGAATTGTATTTTTAATTTTTCCCTGTAACCAATAATTCGCTATGTTTTTTAGTTTGTTTTCCTTCCAAAGTTGAAATCATGTTTTTTTTTTTTTTTTTTTTTTTTTTTTTTTTTAAATCCTATAACATGTGTTGATTTCTTTTTAGAGTGGTATTGGCGATGTTGGATGCACCCAATCGTCCTCAAAACAGCTGCCATCATCTCTGCCGTCCTCTCAACTGCAGTTGTGTGGTCTGAAGTAACATTCTTCAATAAAAAACCAGTACTGTCTATTTTTGCCATTTTAGTCAACCTAGCCAAACCGAACTATGATTATTTTACCATCGAGGTAAGCCAATAACTGGGTTGCATATAGCAAAAAGGAATCAGCGAGATTACAGTGTTTTCAAAATCATACTTAATATATGTACAGTTTTGAAATTTACACAGTTTTTTTCCTTTAAAATTAACAATATTTTTGGTTGGAAGCAAAAAATATTTGCTTTTCTGGGATATTTCATAGATAATAGTGAGAAGCAACAGTTTTACAACACTGCAATTGTGCTGGTTCTTTTTTGCTGAATGCGATCCGACTTAAAATCAAAGTGTTTGTAAAATTAGACCAACTTGTTTGTCTCAAGTGTAATCCCATGAAGCAATGCTAGAATCTCACCAACGATTCATTCCTTTTCACAGAAAATTTTCTTGTTAAGAGCTCGAAGAAATGATTTCAACCTAAACTTCTAGACGGGTGAAGTGAGGGGTACACAATACCTTAAATATCTTGCATTTTTTGGATGAGACATTCATGCATGCCAAGATCAAAAGTGAAAATATAATTAACAACCTATCCTCTATGGAACAGATAGGATTTTAAGACTAAAGTTTAGGAGCTGATTCAGAGCAAATTTTCTGCCTGAGGACCACTGTAAAGCAAGGGCAAAGTGATTATTCAGTAGAATGAGCAGTTAGAGAATGTTTGTTGAAAAAGAAGCAAGTTTTGTGTAACACTGTTCCTTTTTTAAGTATAATTTATTTGGTTTTTCTTTTCCTTTCAGCTTCTATCAACAGTCATCATAGCCTACCTATGCTTGTGCGCATTTGCCACCGTGCTGAAAATCAGAGTGCTCAACTATTACTACCTTGCACCACACCACTTGACAGATGAACATAGTCTCGTGTTCTCTGGAATGATGCTTTCTCGACTGACACCGCCGATGTGTCTCAATTTCCTAGGTCTCATTCATATGGACAGCCATGTTATCAAAAGTCAGCTCATGGAAACGCATTACACCCAAGTCAGTATCCATTCTTTTCTTGTCCCTTTTAGTATTGAATATCTTATCGACCAATTGTGACCAATTCTTGCTGTTAGGGGCTAAAATCTGCCTCTCTCTGATGCCTGTAAATCCAGCATTTTTTTATCTCAGAAAGTCTATATTTATCAAGAATAATTAGTTTTCACGGAGTTAGTCTTTTCAAGAATAATTAGTTTAGGGGACGTCCTATGAAGGGATGACTGCAGAGCATTGAAGAAAAGATGTCGCACTGTCAGCTGCCCGATACCCTCTGGTAAGATGGGCCTCTGTGGCATTTGGGTGTCGCAAAATGCCAGAGAACGCTGTGTATGTGATGTAAGTATTAATTTTTGCTTCTTATTGAATCCTTCCAGTGAGATTTAATGCTGTAAATATGGGTCCAAAAGCTAAAAACTACCATCTTTCACGGATTTTTTTTAGTTTAATGTTGACCTAAGAATTTATTTATTTGTCTCTGGTTTGCAGGTTATGGGTCACATGGATGTTATCTCTATAATATCGGATGGATTCAACGTATATTTTCCCATAGCCATGCTTGCCCTATGTCTAGCCACCTACTTCAGTGTAGGCTCTAGGATACTATCAGTTGTTGGTTTCCCGCAGTTTCTTGGGGATGATGAAGTCACAACAGACTTAATTGATGAAGGAAAAAAATTGATCGGCTGTGGTGAGAATTTCATACAATTGCCTCATTTTTGACCTTACAATACATTTCCAGTCTCAACGGAAGACCCGGGTGATTAGATTGTGTTCACTCCAAAATATCAAGTCCGAAATGTAACGTAAAGAAAACAAAGTTTCTCACTTGCAAGGAAACTGCTTTTGCTGGGTGCACAACTTGGTTAAAAACTTTGGTCATAGTTTCATGAGATTTAGTATCGTAGCCGAAAGTTTTTCATGGGAACCTCAATGGTTCGTGTTAAAACCACTTTTTTCCATGGTTTCACGAAGTTTCAATTGTGGTGTACACCAATTTACACTAAATACATTATCTACAAGTGAATTAAATCAGAAGGACCTATGTGCAATGAATTTGCGTGCATCATAGTTCCTTTTAGTTCATTTATACATAGTTGTCCTTGGTATTATACATCCAATCCATTGTTCAAAAATTCGACGGTACTAAATTTTTATAATATCTCTAAAAATTTCTTGGATTTTGTTTGCAGAAAAATTGCGGAAACAGAAGACTGAGGAAAGTGCGGAAAGACGGAGAGAGTATCTCAAGAGGTTTGATAGGTCCAGCAATCAAGATAACCGTGGTAGCAGTAGTAAGTTTAGACTTCATTCTCATTATGTATAATTTCTATTCAGAGATTTCATGAGGAAATCAAACACCTCTATCTCTGTAGAGCTAAGAGGTACCAGAGATCATGCGTAAAAATGTAAATTTTTACTATCAGAATTGAACATAGATTTCTTTCGTTTAGAGGTCGAATTTCGGTATCAAAAAAAGGTGAAAAATTACACTGATTACCCTCTTTTGACGCCTCATCCCGCTTTTGATAAGATGAGGGATCCAAAAGAGGGAAAATTTTTTAAACTGTTACTATTAGTATAAGTCAAAAGTTTTAAACGAACATCTCTTTGAAGGATTTTCATGCAGATTGGCAAAATCAATAACATTTCTTTCGAAAAGTTTTCCGTTATCAATAGAATCTAATTAAAAATAGCGCACTTTTTCTATTCTTGAGCTGGAACAAAGTTTTGCATCAAAAGTAATGTGAAAAGAAGACAGTCTTAAAGAAATGGAATCTCCAGTACATAGGCGAACTTTCCTTTCAATTTCAATTGGAGCTGGGAGATTGGTGTAAATAACTACGCACAAAGTACGATTTGATTAGTCAATAAAACTGTTTCTTAACTACTTCCATGGCTCCTCCTTTCACCCCCTCCACCCCCCCAAAAAAAAATAAAAAATTAACTTCATTTTTTCTTTTTTCACAGATACTTCCACTGTGGTGGACGATTCACCGAGCACAAATTTGCTGACTGCCGCCGAGCCGATTGATTGGTACCACAAACCGCAGTTTGACGTCTCTGCCTCAGACGAATATCAATCAAGTCGGATAGTGAACCCTCCAAGAAACATTTTTGATGACGTTTAAAGCATCCTGTAGGCTCCTGTAATTTAAGCTCTGAGAGTAATTTTCCTGCTAATAAGTAGCATCCATTTATTACCATTCACAGGAAAATAGACCTCAGTGCTGAAACATTTGTCATTTCCCTGACGAACGATCAAAACTCCATTCCAACGTTGCCAAACTGACTCAAACAATTCCATTCTTTACTATGATTTTGTGAACAAAATTTTGTTGCTTTTTGCGTGTGATAAGTAAAAAAATCAGTGAAATTTTCATTAAAAAATGCCCAACGGTTTTTCAGTTTAAGTACAATTTACTAGTGAAAATTTCGCATTTTTGAAATGTAGTTGCATTCTTTCGCACGGAGAACAGCAAAATTGACACCTCTGTTTAGAAAAGTGTTTTTTGAACATTTTTGTGGAAAATTAGTCTAAGCTACGTCGAATAGCCTAGTTACTTTCTTTGGAATACTATGGAGTGTTTTATGTCAAGGAATACATTTCCAAGTTTCCAACCTGGCTCAACGAAAATTGCTGGAAACTTTTGAGCAGCTTTGCTTTCCTTAGATAAATGACGAAGATATGAATACAATTCTAGAAATTGCTTGCAATGATCAGTCAAGAAATTGTATTTAAATTTTCTCACAGAGTATCTGAAAATTCGTATTTTGCGGAAAATGTTCAGCTGAGTGCGTGAATTAAGTCATGTGCCTTTGATTAGGATAGACTAGGTTTCATGAGACTGAGTAAGTAAGTGGATTCCGTAAGTGAATTGTAGCATAGATCTGGTTAAGATTTCTTACCTCCTTTTTCAAATGAGTCATTTATGATAAAACTCGTTTAAGATCCATGTTTCCTTAACAGTCGCATGCTTTTCCAGGCCCCTTAATTATGCTGACTGACCGATGACTTTTACAGGAATTTTGCATCCATAGGCTGAAGTCCTGTAAATCTTACAGGAATCCTTCTTTATATGAGACTCAGTGAAATTTGCCTTGTAAGACACTTTTCAGAACTCAATTCAGCTCTCAGTGAACCAAAGCAACTGGCTACCAACTGAACATAATAATTAAAGTTTTATTGGGTGAATTTTCTCAGAAGTAAAATTTCTGTAGCATTTAATTGTACATACCATTAAGACTGATTGCGTTTTATTGAGAGAAGAGGAGAACAAGCAGGAAGCTAATTGGACTACATTTTGCAATTCGGAACTAAAATTTCTAGCTCCTGGATAAAAACACTTAATTGCTTAGAGAAACTAATGGTAGGTACATATGTTGTTTCTAAACTGAGACAGAAATTGTAGTTCCTAATTGCAAAACGTAGTCTAATTCTGTTTGTTCTCTTAAGATATTACGCCTAATTTTGTGGCGTTTTGTCCTGTTCAACAAGGAACTGAATTATACCTTGTGCAGTGACCCATTTGTTCCCTGTTAAACTGGAAGGAAGTGTACAATTTAGTAATTGTAGCAAAATTTGCATACTCATCATTCCACTTCGAGTTACAAACGTCAAGTTAGTTAGTTATCTAGACTTCGATTTAGTTATTTAATCTCTCCTTTGGCAGCTTTAACCATTGTGTAAATATTTCCACGATTTTTTTTGGCTTATTTAGACATTTTTTAATCTCTAGTCAGCACCTTTTTTTTTCATGATATACTCTCTTTGTTTCAAACTCTATCCCAATGTTTCTCAATACTCACAGATAGTAAATATTTTATAGCTTCCAAAACCGAAATTTGCGCTTTGAAAAACCAAAATTGTAAATTAGATTGCTAAATCTAGATTTTGTTATTTTATACAGTGCAGTATAACCAAAGGATCCTTTTGTGCACTGAGGTTACCGTTAAGTGAGAATCGAAGTTTGGAGTTGAGAAAGAGGGCTTTTTTTGTGCTATTTCCTTGCATTGAAAATTAGAAAATATCTCAATTCTTCGATCTTGTGCTGGAGAAAATCGAACAAATGAACCTCCGTGGGTGATGCCTTTAGAAAGTGTACATTCCTTCGCAACGGAGAATTTTCCTTGTCCGAAGAATTGCCTTTGTCTTTACGAGGTATTTTCAACAATGAAGGCACTTTTGGATGATTTCAAGTTATTTTGTCAACAAATTCTTGCGTTATCCCTCTCTAATTATTGAATCGTCCAAGGTCCCATCCATCAATACCTGCTTTGTAGAATTTTACCTTTGCCTTCGTCCAGACTGAACATTGTCCAAATAAATCCAAATAAGTAACAATACTTTGCAATTACCCAATCTGAATTTTATTTGCTGATTTTATTGTCCAAATAAATCCAAATAAGTAACAATACTTTGCAATTACCCAATCTGAATTTTATTTGCTGATTTTTCTATCTACCAATCCCATTATTTTCTTAAAAAATTGAGCGAGGGGAATGTAGACTGCTTATTGCTGTATAAACAGTTGCCATTTAGGAGTTTTTGATCTCATGTATAATGTGTGTCACATTTTTACATTATCGTCTTTTTAGTGCCAATGCTTGCAGTAATAAACTAATTCGTCCCCATTGTATCATAATCCGCCACCAGTTATTTAGTAGACTTCAGTCAAACTGGTAGATGGTAAAATTTTTGGAATACAGTAAAAGTTTATTAAGTTGAATTGTACAGGGAGAATATTTTATCCTAAATGGCAATTCGAGCAATCGTTTCTCCGTTTAAAACAAATTCTGCATAGAGATAGTAAAAATTCCTCATGAAAAGCTGTCTCTTCTCTGCCTCTTTCGTGTATGAAGGTGAGGAACACTGAATTCATACGTAGTATTTCTTCCTTTCCACGGAAATAACCGAAAATGTTCTTAAACATAAGCTACTTTCTGTTTGACACTAGTAACTACAAATTCAACTGCAGTCTATTTCTTTTATTTTGTTTCCTATTACCAAAGGAATCGAAAACAAATTCGACTTAAGCATCACTCTACTTAGCAAACTTATATTGTAGGTATATCATAGCAGGTGATGATGTAGGTTTAAGGGGTCACCATTTGAGATGCTCACTCCTGACTTTTTCTTACTCACATCAAAAGGACTTAAATTTCTGTATTCTTTGGGATTCGAATTTTTCTCCCTTCTTTAATGAGTTGAACTTGGTTCTAACAATTGAATTTCCTATCTATGAAAGTAGGGGTAGAATAGAACTGACCATACTCTACAATCCGCATCTTCATTTAAATTTCTATCTGTGTAGCTCTTAAAATTCTTATGTATACATCTAGACTCCTCAGTCTTAAAAGAGAGGGGTTCAGTGGCGTAACGGGCGCCCCCGCAGACCCTGCTATGCAGGGGGGCCCAGGCGCCTAGGGGGCCCTCGGCCGCCGGAATTTTTTTTTTCTCTCTCTCTTTTTGATGCTTAGCTTTGGTTTCAAACTTTGGGCCTTTACTTACCGAGATGGGGCTTCTTCCTCTGATTTTTATTGTTAGCACGGGGTATTTTATACTTCTCTCGGACTGTTCCTAACTTTTTGTTTGCTGGAGGGCCCCTGCCTTCCAATGTCCACTCAGTGATTACTAAACATTTTTTCTTTTTTTGTCACTTTTCGTAATTAGGGCTTTGGGAGATCCAAGAACCTAAAGGGCCCCAAGGCTCTTGGGGGCCCTTTGATTCTTGGGCCTACGCCCCTCTGTAGATCCTTGGGCCTGGGCTGGGCCCCTGCCACCCTTTAGATCCTTGATCCTTTA